AACCCCAGTGGCTTGCAGGACCCTCTGCCCTCCTCTCTCTCTCTCTGCTGCCCCTTGGGAATGGGTTTGTGCATCAAACCTGCCGTGCCATGGGAAGGGAAGGTGAGGATCCATCCATGTCACCTGGGAACTGCTGAACAGGAGCAGCCCCTGCCTGAGCTTTTCCTTTCCCAAGGCAAAGGCTTTCGTGGGGCAATTTTTTTTTCTATATAAGACAGCCCTGACAGGTCAAAAATAGTTGGCAATAGAATCATGGAATGGTTTGAGTTGGAAGGGACCTTAAATCTCATCTTGTTCCACCCCCTGCCATGGGCAGGGACACCTTCCACTGTCCCAGGTTGCTCCAAGCCCCGTCCAACCTGGCCTTGGACACTTCCAGGGATGGGGCAGCCACAGCTTCTCTGGGCAACCTGTGCCAGGGCCTCCCCACCCTCACCTGGGATCTAAATCTCTGTTGTCTGTTCACTGCTGAGGTTGAACTATTGAGCAGGTGCATGACTGGCATAAATCAAAGCCTGCAACCATATTTAATATCATTTCTTGTCCCTTTTTGCACCCATGTGAGAGACTGGAAGGATTATGGAGTAGCAGGATATGGATTCTTCTAGGAATAAATGAGTTTTTCTCTGCCACGTAAATACACCCAAATTTTATTTTTGGAAAATGTTCCTGCCTCAATCTTCATTCCAAGCACTAATGAGATGGGATGACTTATAAGATCCTGGGTTGGAAAGATTTGAGGAGACTGGGGGGAGGAGGGACTGCAAGAAGTCTTTGCTTATGTGTGTCCATGGGTGCCCTGCACATTATCCACCTTCTCCAGGTGTCTTGGGGTTTGTTTCTCCTCAAAGCAGGAGATGTGATCCTGAGTTCATGAGTGAGGGCACACAGAGGAAGTGGGAAGTGAACTTGAGCTGGTGATGGTGTTGTTCCATGGCAGGGAGTCCGTGCCTCTGCCATCACCAGGACATCCAGTCCTGTTCCCATGTGTGTCTGTGCTTCTCTCCCACTCACAATCCCTGTTTTCTGGGGTTCCCTGGCTGCCACATCGAGCACAGGGAGGTGTTTGTCCAAACTCTTTCTGTAGTGAGTGAACAGAGGAGGGGAAATGTGAGAATCCAGTCTGTGCCCCACTGCCTTTAGAGAAAGAGTCTCTTGGGAAGCTGCTCTCCTTGGCTTCATCCCTGCTCCTCATCCTCACTCCCTGTGGGTGCTGCTGGCTGAGTTGCCTGCCTGCCTTCTTCCCTGTGCTCCTGAGTGCTTGGGCAGGAGAGGCCAGGGCTCCAAGGGGTGCAGTTCTTTTTTGGTTGCCACTGCTGTCCCCGTGGGTGACAGGGAGCCCTCTCCTGCCTTTGTCCAGCAATGCTCTGCTCTGCTCCTGCCCCCAGACCCGCCCTCCTACCTGGCTGCCAGGTGAACCAGCCTCTGGGAGTTGATCTGTTGTTTCTCTGCAGAGAAAGGAAAGGAAAAGTTTGGTTTGCAAGCTGAAAAGTAAAACGGAAACCCTGGGTTTGAAGATGTTTAATTTTCCCTGGGGAGGGAAAGGAAGAGCAGAGCAAGAGCATAAACAGCAGCAGCTGATGTCCCCATGGCACGACAGCTCGGAGAGCAGCTGTGGGAAAGCCCCACATGTGGCTCCCTTCTGCTTCTGTGGGCAGGAAACCTTCCACAGAAGGGCTCCTGTGTCCCTTTTGGGGGGCTGGCTGTTGTCCTTGCCAAGGGGCTTGGCATTGCAAGGACAAACACTGGCCCTGTTGTAGAAGTTTGGGGAAACTGAGGCCAAAGGGCAAGAAGTGTCCACTGTCGATGTGGACCAGACCCCCCACATCTGGCCGGGAAAGGTCTCCCCAAAATGCCAAATCCCACTGGGATGGACAAAGTGCTGCCAGCTCGCCTGGGAGAAGGTTTTGCCTGACTCCTTCCACACCAGGGCAAAGCTACAGAGCCCCAAAGCCAAACCAGTCCTCCTGCATATTCCACCGGATAAATTGTCCTGGAAGGGATTAGATTAGTGGATTAAGGGAAGTGCCTTGCAGCTGGGACTGTTACTTAGAGCCAGACTGTTACCTGCAAAGCTGTGGGGAATATCTTGCTGGCATTAAAAAGAAAATAATAATAATAATGCCACGTCCTAAATCTCTGCTGGGTGTTGTGAAACTGCAGATCGGTGAGGGAAGGTTTTAACACCGGGATGGGGCTTTGGGCCAAGCTCAGGTGTGAGCCCAGAGCTGGGCTTTGTGTCTGGGCAGGTTTGGGGCAGCACTGAGCCAGCTGGGGGTTCTCAGGGGTGGTGCTGGCAGGCTGTGTTTGCTCTGGGTGAGGGGCCCGGGCGCAGGAGTGGTTTGGTGCTGAGAACACACCTGTTATCAGCAGGCAGGGAGGGCCCTGAAACCAAAGCTGTGTCTGTCCCAGCTCGGTTCCACCTCTGCTTGCCTGCAAACTACTTAAGTAGCTTTTCCTGAATGCTGCAGTTCCCGGGCTGGGCGCTGCAGGGATCACCTGCCACCGTGGGGAGGAGGTGAGTCCTGGCTCTGTGAGCCTCCCAAATCTTCCTTTTCCATCACCTGTCCTCACAGATCAGCAATTCAGGGGATTTTCCGTGTCTGCACTGGCATTTCTTTCCAACTGAGCCAATCCATGTCTGTGTATTCTGTGAACAGAATTAAGTAGGTATTGGGACAAAATACAGTTTAAACAGAGAAGTTCATAATTTCCTGCTACTGTATCTACAGCTGGGTTGCTGTTGACAGCTTCTCATCTCTGGCTGGTGTTGCTTCTGGGTACACTGGGATTTATTTTCTCATTAGAACCCTCTGAGAGTGTGGAGGGGGAAGAGAGACGGGTCTTTTCCTACCTCCTGATAAGAAATTCAGCCTTTGCCTCCAAACTGAAATTCTCAGGCAGTGGGGATGGGCAGATTCCTGCTGCCTCCTCAGTGCTCGGGATGTCACAGCGGTAAAAGGGAGGGAAATCATTTTTAATCCCTGTGTGTGTGAGAGACATCTTTTACTCGAGGTTTGGGCTTTCTCTTGAGATAAATCCCCCTCTCTAAGCTCTCCAGACCCCAGACTAGAGCAGACAGTGGCCGTTACATCTCCCTTTGAGGTCTAACCCGGAGTGGTGGTGGTGGCTCAGTTAATTTTGCCTTGTGACTCTGCTTCCTCCAGTGAGCAGCACCCAGGCTTGTGCTGCTGGAGCTGTAGGGCTGCAGCTTAAATTCCTCCCCCAGGGCTGTGAGCCAGCTGGGCACCCATCCCAGCCGAGACATCCTGTGTCTAACCCACATCTGAGCAAGGTGGTCGCTGCCCCCATCCCTTCCTTGCAGACCCAGAGCACTGAAGTGATGCTCAGCATGGCTGAGGGTTCCTTTGAAGCCATCTCTGGTGATTAAAGGAAAAAAACGGTGCTGTTCCCCCTCTGTTTGCTATTTGACCTTGGGCAAGTCGCTTAAATGTTCACAGTTGTTAAAAGGAGGGATGTTCTGTGACAGTTGAGGTCTCGGTGAGCGCGTGGAGGGGGAAGGTGAAGGATCCCAGAAGGAAAATAATTGGTACTTATAGCGTGTAATTGGCAGCCTGACAACTCCTGAGCTCTGGAGTGGTGCCTCTCCTCTGCAGCAGCAGGAGGCAGAGCGATGCCTAAACCTCATCCCCACACTGGCAGCTTCACCCAGTCACTCCCCCGTGGGTTATCTGGCTGAGGGGAAGAAAGAAAAGTCACGGAAACTGTCCCATCTGTACCTGTCTCTTAACACCTGTGCAGTGATGGAGGTCAAACACATGCTCTGTGAAGTCAGGGGTCACTAATTAGCACCTCATTGGGTGATAATGGGGAGTTTGATCCCTGTCCAGTGTAGCTGTGGCAGGGCTGTGCCACAGCTGGTTCAAGGTGTTCACACCTCGAATTGTGGAATTGTCAAGATTGGAGAAAACCTTTAATTTAAGATTGTCAAATCCAACCATCTCCTGCATTCTGCTCATCCCTCTGACGAGCAGCACTTCCAGCTCTGCCAGGTCTGTCCCTCTCCCTTAGGGGTGAGAAGTCAGAGCACATCAACCCTGAGAATGAGGCAACAGATTGTTTTACTCCTAAATTAGTGTTTGTGAAGGAGCTTAATGTCTTGCTAACCCGTTCTGCCTTTCCCAGAATAACCACGGGCCACCTTCCCGAGGTGCTGTTAGCAAAGCAGCAGTTTGGTGGGCTGGGTGTTGGTAACCCTGCAGGATTCCTTTCCTTTGGGACTGACACAGTGAAGGGCTCATAACAGGTTACTGAGAGGCATCTGCTGCCTCCTGCTCAGCCCCTGTCCTGGTCTGGTGGCCTCTCCCCTCTGAAGAAGCTGGAGAGAGGGAGCACTTTACAGGGCAAATAAATGACTCAGTCTAATGAGTAAGGTAATTGCCATTCACTGTTAGATGAGGCTAAAGTGGGTCAGGTTTGTTTGTGAAACTCCATGGAGGCACCATCTGTTCTCTGTGCCCCGTCTCAGGGGCTGGAGATGGGATTTGGGTGAAACTGCTTCCCTGGGAGGCTGTGGAGCAGCACAGGAGATGTCCTGCTCATTAGGCAGGGGGGTGGGTCTCTGGAGGTGACCCTGTGTGGCTGTAGGGAAGTGCCTGCAGCCCTGATCCTCAGAGATCCCTTAATTGATTTCACTGGGAGAGGGGACCCCGAATCCTTTGTCTCTCTGCTACAACTGGCCAGCTCTAAGATAAGGCTGGACAGGACACTGAGAGGTCATTAGACCTCCTTTAGCCCGAAGGCAGGATTGGATTTTCCCAAACCATGTCTGACAGGTGTGTGTCTCACCCGTCACAAACCCTTGGAGAGAAACTTGGCACCAGTGTGGTTTGTGTCCTTTAACCCTGCCTCTGTCCCAGATCCTCCCATGCCTGCAAGCCCGTGGGGATGGGGACTGTCCCTTTCAGGGATGAGGTGTCTGTGATACCCAGTTTCAGCCCTCAACCCTGCTGTGTCTAACACCCTCTCTCTTCTCACAGCCCACAGCATGTGAGCAGCAGGGGAAGCCTGGAGTGGAATCCCTGCCTGCCCACGCCTGGACTCGACACTGCTGGGGCCACATCTTGCAATAAGAGGAAGAGGAAAAGACAGTTCAGCCACCACTGCTAAAAATGGGAAGCAGCATCTATCCAGCAACCTGGGAAGGGGAGCTCCGGGGGCATCCCTGGCAGTGCTGCCGCCGGATGGACACAGCCCTGTGCCAGTGAGGGGTCAGGGCAGCGTGGCTCGGGGGGCTGTGGGGGCAGCATGTTCTTCCAGAGCCGCAGGACCCAGCTGCTGCTGGTCAACTCGCTGACCTTCGGGCTGGAGGTGTGCCTGGCTGCAGGGATCACCTACGTGCCACCGCTGCTGCTGGAGGTGGGCGTGGAGGAGAAGTTCATGACCATGGTTTTGGGTAGGCAGCTTTTATCTCCTCTTTGAGGTGCTCGTTTCCCCTTTGAGCCTGGAGGGCAGGGGTGAATGAATACAGGCCTGGTGGTCGCAGGGCTACTCTTCTATCAAGGGCAGCCTTGTGTTTGGAGGAGGGGGCTGTGAGCCACTGAAGCCTCCCAAGTTCTTGAAACATCCCAGGCTTTGTAGAGTGTGTACAAACCAGCGTCCTCCGGATCTGTCTTCTTAACACCACCTCTTTCTCTTTTCCAGGGATAGGACCAGTCCTTGGCTTAGTTTTTGTCCCTCTGATCGGATCTGCCAGCGACCACTGGCACAGCAGCTACGGCCGGAGGAGACCTTTCATCTGGGTGCTTTGCCTGGGAGTCCTGCTGAGCCTCTTCGTGATCCCCCACGCCAGCAGCCTGGCCAGCCTGTTTGCCCTCAACCCTCGCCCCCTGGAGATCGCCTTCCTCATCCTGGGCATCGGGCTGCTGGATTTCTGCGGCCAGGTGTGCTTCACTCCCCTGGAGGCCCTGCTCTCCGACCTCTTCCAGGAGCCGGACAACTGCCGCCAGGCCTTCTCCATGTACGCCTTCATGATCAGCCTGGGGGGCTGCATCGGGTACCTGCTGCCAGCCATCGACTGGGGGGGCAGCTTCCTGGCCCCCTACCTGGGAGGGCAGGAGACCTGCCTCTTCAGCCTCCTCGCCGTCATCTTCCTCGGCTGCGTGCTGGCCACGCTCTTCGTGACGGAGGAGGCGGCCGCCCAGGGGGACGCTCTGGATGGCCCGACGCTGAAGGACACGGCCCCGAAGCCCTCCCCTGCCCGCTGCTCCTGCCAGCTGTCCCGGGGCTCCTGCCTGCTGCAGGCCAGGCGGGCGCTGCAGGCCCTGAGGAACCTGTGCTCGCTGGTGCCGCGGCTGCACGGCCTCTACTGCCGCATCCCCCGCGTCATCCGCCGCCTCTTCGTGGCCGAGCTCTGCAGCTGGATGGCCCTCATGACTTTCATGCTGTTCTACACCGACTTTGTCGGGGAAGGGCTGTACCACGGCGTGCCCAGGGCCAAGCCGGGCACGGATGCCAGGCGGCACTACGATGAAGGTGAGGAGGGAACCGGCTGCTCTGAGGCTGCGGCGCCCGTTCTCCCCCTGGGCAGGAGTGTTTTCTGGGAGCTCAGCTCTGCTACTAATGCCAAAAAAAAGTTACAGGAAACGTGACTTTCTGCAGGAAAAAACCATTGTCCCGTGGCCCCTGGAGCATGGCACGGGGGGGGGGCCAAATTGGGAAACACCTCCTTGTTCTCTGAGCTTCCCAGAGCACAGTCAGGTCTGGCAGGGCAGCCCTGGCCTGGGGCTGGACTGTTAAGTGGCAGAACAGTCTGGCAGGTTGTGCGCTGAACAGGATGGATCCGGCTCTGCCTGCAAGCTGTGGTTGCTGCTGCCAGGTCCTTTCAGTGCTCTTCCCTCCTTTTTAAACGGGTGGGAATGGTGCTCCCCATCCCTAGGAGAGCCGGGGTTGGAAAGCCAGGACGTGCTCTGTAGCAGTGAGGTGGGATTTGCTGCACCTTCCTTCCCGGCTACTATGAGATTCCCACCTCACAGCTGTATCTGGGGAGCCCTCAAGCAGCTCCCCCAGTTCTCAGCCCTCTCTCCAGTGCTTCAGTGCCGACCAGAAGCCTGGAGCTGCCACGTCCCCATCCCAGGACAGAGCTCCCAGCAGCACGTTACCTGCTCACTGGGGTTCCTGCTGTCCCGTTTTGGCTGCCGTGTTGTGCCAGAGCCTTGACTGGCTGCCTAACCCTCCTTTTCCTCTCCCTAATCCAAATCTTTTATTCTGAGAGGCACCTTCCTGGCCCTCGTCCTGCAGCTGTATATCTTGCCCTCCACAAGCACACTGCCTCTTTGTGCTTGGGTGTCTGTTTAACTTACAGGGAGCTTAATTATTATTTAACACTTGCACCGTTTAGCTCCCAGCAGGTCAGCACTGCATTGTGCTGGCTGTCATAGAAACATGTGCTGAGTAATGATCCTTGCTCCAAAGAGTTAATGGTTTTAATTCCCTGAAATCTGATAGATCTTTGCAGAGGGTAAGGTCCGGGATTGCTACCGGATACTGCAGTGGTTTAGTGGATGTTCTATACTTTGCTTTGGCTTGAGCACAGTTCCTTGTTCCTTTTGTTCTGCTGCTGGCTTTTGGCATCAGGTGAGAACAGATCCTGGTTCACGAGCAGGTGACAGGTCCTGGGGCAAGAGCAGGAAGGTGCAAACAATGACTTCCAAAGACAAGAGTGGCATTTGGATTCCCCTCTGGCATTTGGATTCCCTTCAGTCAGCCCGGGGTGCCCGGGAGCAGGGCTGGTGGAGGGGGCAGGCTGGGATTTGTGAGGTGATGCTGCTCTGCTTCCTGCCCCAGCCACGCGGTTGTCGGGCTGTTTGTGGCTGTGCCACGCTGTGTGTGGAGTGTTTGGAGCTTGGAACTGAAGGAGAGGGAAGGATTTGACAGGAAGCTGAACATGAGCCAGCCAGCAGTGTGCCCAGGTGGCCAAGAAGGCCAATGGCATCCTGGCCTGGCTCAGGAACAGGGTGGCCAACAGGTCCAGGGAAGTGATTCTTGACCTGGACTCAGCACTGGTGAGGCCACCCCTGGAGTGCTGTGTCCAGTTCTGGGCCCTCAGATCAGGAAGGACATTGAGGTCCTGAAGCAGGTCCAGAGAAGAGCAACGAGGCTGGGGAAGGGACTCGAGCACAAGTCCTCTGAGGAGAGGCTGAGGGAGCTGGGGCTGTTCAGCCTGGAGAAGAGGAGGCTCGGGGGGGGTTGTAGCCAGGTGGGGGTTGGTCTCTTTTCCCAGGCAACCATCAGCAAGACAAGAGGGCTGGGTCTTAAGCTGTGCCAGGGGAGGTTTAGGTTAGACATTAGAAAGAATTTCTTTCCAGAGAGGGTGCTCAGCCATTGGAATGGGCTGCCCAGGGAAGTGGTGGATTCTCCATCCCTGGAGGTTTTTAAGCTGAGACTGGATGTGGCATCAGTGCCATGGGCTGGGAACCACAGCGGGGTCGGATCAAGGGTTGGACTTGATGATCTCAGAGGTCCCTTCCAGCCCAGCTGATCCTGTGATTCTATGATTTCCCAAGGTGAAGCCCAGGCAGTGCCTCTCACCCCCCTCTGCTTGCCTGCAGGTGTGCGGATGGGCAGCTTGGGCCTCTTCCTGCAGTGCATCACCTCCATCTTCTTCTCAACAATCATGGACCGGCTGGTGAAGCAGTTTGGGACCCGGGCAGTGTACCTGGCCAGCGTGGTGTTCTTCCCCGGGGCCGCCTTCGTCATGTGCCTCTCCCACAGCGTCACCGTCGTCACCATCTCCGCGGCCCTCACGGGCTTCACCTTCTCCGCGCTCCAGATCCTGCCCTACACCCTGGCATCCCTCTACCACCACGACAAACAGGTAGGGATCTGCCCCGGCACGGCCACCTGTGGCCAGTCCAGCCCGTGGAAGAGAAACACACACCTGTATCCGAAGGTTTTCCGCCTGTCCCCAGGCTGTGTCTTCTCTGAAGACTCGTCTGAAATGGAGATGAGAGTTCAGTGTCTCCCTCCTTAGGGATCCCCTGCTCACCACAAGCATTGTCCATTTTTTAAAAGTGAGGAGTGGGTAAGACAGCAGGAATTAGCCAGGATGGGTGTATCAAAAGGGGTGTTCCCTGTTCCTCTGTGTCCTGCATATTTTTAGGGAAACTGGTTCAGGTTAGCTACCCCTGTGTACATTCCTCAGCCAAGTCACATCTCTGCAGCTCTGCCAGCCTGAGGTGCTGTAAAACCCAAGAATTTTCAGCCCTTAGAGGTCCTGCTTTCCAGCTTTTGTCCAGAGCGCCAAGATCAGTAAAATCAAAACTGAGGTTCTTCCCATTCCCTCAGCTCCAAGAAAAATCAACCTTGTGAAACTTGTGACACCAACACAAAAGCTCGTAACCCTGTCCCACAGATGCTATCCTTGTGGAGCAGTCCTAGGAGGTTCCTGAGTTGCACACTGGATTAATAGGAGTTTCTCTTGTGCTGCAAATGCAGAATTAATTTGTGGTTTGAGAGCAGCTCTTTCATCCCAGCAGCAGTGGTTGGCTGTGCAGTGGAATAAGTAGGAGTTGTTACCACAGGCATCCAGATGTTCACATTGAACAAATCCTCGGGACCGACCCATCCCAGTTGGCACCAGGCAGTAAGGAGGGGATGAGGGAACGTTCAGCTTTGCAAAAGCTTCAGCTTGGCTGGGATCTCCCATGGATGAATTATCAGTGGAATGAAACCCAAACTCCACAGGCTGGGAATGGGAAGGCCACGTGCCCCACTGTTTGCCAAAGGCTCGACAGGGAAACACTGGCAGTACAATGAGTGAGGGGCACAGCTGGGGCTGGTCTCTCTGCTGTCATCCCTGGAAGTTCCTCCTTCCTTTACCCACTCCTTTGAGCTGGGAGACCCCACAAGAAGTCCCTAGAAAGCCTTTTTCAGGAAATCCTCCATCTTCCCCATTTCTGTTCTTTTTTCCCGCTGTTGAAGTCTGTCAGCATTTTGGTTTGGGGTGGTTTGAAAGCCAAGTTCTCACTAAGCCCATTCCTCTATGTTTAAGTAATTTTCTCTAGATGGAAATTAATTCTCTGCACTAGATATTCAGACACACCTCCCAAAACTCATATCCCTGAAGTTCTTAGCCTGGATCAGTATAGAAACCAAGAAAATGAGGGACCTCCTGGTTTGGCTCACACAATGCCCTTCCTGTGCTGGGTTTGGAGTTGCTTTGAAGTTTGATGGCAATGGGAGGCCTGTGGGAGGATTTTTAGACTCCAGAAAGATAAGTGACAGCCCGTATTGATGCATTTTAAGTGTGCCAAGGCTGCTGAGAGCTTTGGGATGACCTGCAGCAGAACTGGGGTGCCCACATCTTGCACCAGTTCCCTCCTCTTGGTCCATGTCCAGGTCCCTCCTGCACAAGGGAGGATAGTTCCCCTCTGAGCCTGCAGCGGGTACAGCTCTCTGATCCCGAACAGGTGCTCTTTTTTTCTGTTTTATTTGCTTTGTTTGTTCAATCTCCATGCAGATAATGGATTGACATGTCCTTGGTTATCTGCCCTACCCCCTGCAGACCAGGGGTTGTGCATAATTGCAAATACTCTGGAGCTTGAAAGCAGCATTTTCCCTGCCTGCACATGACTGCCCATGGTTTGTTGGTGTTAACGTGGAGAGCTTTTCCATCCAAATCCTCTGTGTGAATGCTCTGGAGCCAGCCATGCCCAGAGATCTCACAGCTTGAGCAGAGCCAGGCAAAAAAGGGCGAGAAGAAAAAGATTTTGCTTCCCCACCACCCCCCTTTTCCAGCTGGAGTGAGGAGGCTCAGGGCAGGCAGATGAAGCAACTCTTCAGCTCTGAGGTTTGTTGCAGAGCTGAGAAAGAGCCCTGCCCTGAGTTCCCAGCACTGTGCCATCCCAGCTGGTGTCACTTTGAAGTGTCCCAGATGAGATTGGCCACTTATCCAGGGCTCTGGGCTGATCATCTGCCCTCTGGGCTCTCGTGCAGGAAGGGTTTGGGCTCCCAGCCACCCACTCTACAAACACTCCTGTTTGCACTGGAGTGGGCTGTGTGGCTGTGTGATATTCCAGAGTGGACTCTGGCCCTTCACTCCTGCCCTGCTTCGGGTGATCTCAGGATGGGGTGAGCCCAGATCCCCTTGGCACCCACTGAGGAGGTGACAACCAGCACAAATTGTCCCCGGGCAGAGCCCAGGCTGGCTTTGGGCTGCAGCAGCCTGCTGAGCCCCAGAGCTTCAACACAGCAAAGGCCCCACTTGGCCAGGTTCCCCCGGTGAGTCAGGGCTGCTTTGAACCCGGTGCCAGTCGGAAAAAGCCATTCTGGCTCCTGGAGGCCACCTCATGTGGGCCAGGCTCAGGCTGGCACTCCCCACCCTGACAGGCTGACCCGACACACACAAAGCCACACTGGTTTTGCTGCCTTGCCCAAAACCCAGGGTCCCTCTGCCCCCCAACCTCGCTCCATCCTCACGTTGCCTCCTTCCTCCCCGTAGGTGTTTTTGCATAAATACAAGAGCAAAGAGGAGGAAGATGCAGCTCTACTGGACAAGAAATCAGCCTTCTCTAAAGGCCTCCTCTCCAGCCAGAAGCTGCCTTACCAGAACGGCCACACTGGGAGCCTCTTCTCCTCCTCCTCCTCCTCCCCTTCCTCCCCTCCTGCCGCCCCCAGCTCCGCTCTCTGCGTCAGCTCCTCCTGCGACGTCTCGCTCATGATGATGGTGGGGGAGCCGGACCCGGCGGCCCCCGGCAGGGGGATCTGCCTGGACCTGGCCATCCTGGACAGCGCCTTCCTGCTCTCTCAGGTCGTGCCCTCCCTCTTCATGGGCTCCATCGTGCAGTTCACGCAGTCGGTCACCGCCTACATGGTGTCGGCCGCCGGCTTCGGCCTGGTCGCCATTTACTTCGCCACCAAAGTCGTCTTTGACAAGAGCGACATGGCCAAGTACTCCGTGTGACGTGGGGGGCACGTGGGGGGCCCTGCACGTGGTGAGATGAGGGGGGTGTGTGCCCACACGGCCGGGGAGCCTCGTGTGGCACCCGCTGTCCCCGAGCTGTCACTGCGGCCCCGGGGGTGGTTCTGGGGCCGGGGGCAGGACGGGGCTAATCTCAGGTGTAAATATGAGCCATCAGGGCATTGTGCTTGGGGCCAGCAGTGCTTTCCAGAGGTGCCTTTATCAAAAGGGAGCACGGCACAGGCAGCACCAAAGGGGTTGTGGCAGGGAGAGGAAGGAACTGCACTTTCCCTCTAATAACGGGTCGTGAGCGGGAGCAGCAGTTGGGTCCAAGGAGGGGATAAATCATTGCCCCTCCTGTTCTCAGCTCACAGCTGTATCCTTCTCCCCCTGCTTGTTGTAGTTTTACCCAACTTCTTGAGCAATACTTGGGCAAATGGGACAGTGGGAGGAGATTTCCTTGGGGAAAAAAACCCCAGATAGGTGGTGAAGGTTTGGCCACGGAGCCAAGGGGGTGCACTTGGGTGCACAAACACTTCTGTCCTTCCCCCCCCTTGGCTCTGGCTGGGAGAAACCATCCAGGAGAAAAGTCACTACGTCTTGTTTTGGAAAAACAAGTAACGTTCCACTAGGACCAGTTCCAAAAGATGACTTACCTTTTACCTATGTACCAGGTTGCATCAGATACAAAGGACTTCTGAGCTTTTTTTTTTTTTTTCAATGATTGTTTTTAGCTTTCTTCACACAGTTCTCAGCAACTCTGACCTCTCACCCCTCCCCTCAGTGCCTGGACCTACCTCCTGCTCTCTCCCCTAACAGCTCCAGCCTGTTGTGCCTCTTCCACACCTGGCCCCTAAAAGATGCTGCTGTACACAAGGGAAATATTCTCAGAGGGTTTTCAGTCCTGTGACAGCGAAGTAGAACAGGAAGAGCTCTCCTGCAAGGCTACCTGGGAACAGGTGTGCCAGGCCTGGGGATGCTGAAGGAATGAGGAGTTGAACTCAGGAGTGGTCTCTGCTGCAGTGGGTATGTGGAGCTGTCACTGCCTGTGGCTGTTTGGGTTTTCCTAAAAATTATTTTATTTCCAGACAGGACTCCAGATTCTTCTGAGGCAGAGCAAAAACCCAGTTACCTGTCAGAGTAAGGCAAAGCACCTTGTGCTGGGACCAAATCCTCCTGGGTTTTCCAGGCTGTTTGGCTCCCAGCTCTGAGGAATCTCCCACTGGCAGCGGAGTGGCTGCAGCTGTGAGTCCTTCTGGCCAGTCCCATTCCCCCATCCGAGCGGAGCAGCTGGAATAATTCTGCTGATGGCAGATTTCTACCACTCAAGGACTACCCACACACCAAGCAGGAGGTGAGGTCCTGGCCCCCAGTCAGCGCTTGGGCTTTGGAATGATCCAAACTCTGTGACAGTGCGGAGAGGGGAGGCTGAGCTGGTCCTGCCAGCGCACAAAAAGTCCTTGACTTTGGCTGGGCCAGACAAGCTGTTTGTGAGTAATTTTCTGGGGAGGTGTGTGGGCAGCGAGATGCACTTGTGAGGTTCGGCTGAAGGGCAAAATGTTGCTATTTTGGCAGAGTCTTGTCAGCCTGTTCCTTGGCACAGAGGGCTGGGTGACTCCCCTGCCGTCTGAGACGGGCCCTCAGAGGGGCTGCTCAGCTCTTTAAAAGCTTCTTTCCCGTCAGGGGTCACTGTTTTTGTTTTACTCCTTCTCAAATTATATGCCTGCCAGCCTCCCTTTCCCACAACAAGGTTTGTGTGCTGAAATGCAGCTGTTTTGGGGATGGATTTGGCAGTTGCTTAACCACTTACGGAAACAGTTTTGGGTCTGTACTTCCCACCCCGGGCTCTGGCCACTGCAGGCTGGAGCAGGAAAGGCTTTGGGGCAAAATGTTACTGCCAAAGCTGGGGGATTTCTTGAATGAATGATTTTTCAAGCAGGTGTGCTGAAGAATCCCTTATTTTTATTTTTTTCCTAAGTAAAACGTGGGGAACCTTCACACGTGGAGGCTGTTGGGGTGGTCAAGTGCTTTTGATAATTGAGCCATTTGTTTAAGTGCCTAAAGTGCTTGCACACCAAGCTTGAGGTGCATGGGTTTGGTGATAAGGGCCTTTAATGCTTCATTACAGACACCCAAGTGATAAAGCAGAGGGTTAGAGGGGCAGACAGCTGGGTTTTAGACAAGAGATCAGGGTGAGAGAGCAGGAGGAAGAGGGGGTGCAGGGAAAATTGGATGTTGTAGCTATGGGAGGGACTGGTGTGGGGCACTGGCTGCAACTGGGCTGCCCTGTGGTGGGTGGGAGCCCCTCGTTGTGGCCTCACACTGTCCATAAAACCCTTCAAACCCCTTCATCCTTGCAATTTGTGCCACGTCCAAGAGCTGGCTGGGTAGGCTGAGCTCAGGTGTGAGCTGGGCTCTCCCAGCTGCCTTCCCAAAGCCTGGGGGGGACGTTGCTGTCACCACAACAGCCCTGTCCGTGTGCTGTGGGTACCAAAAGCCTTTTCTCCCTGGTTCAAGGAGGCGTTTTTCCTGAAATTCCTTTATTTATAAGATTGGCCTTTCTGGCTTCTGCCGGGAGCAGCTTCTCTGTGGGGATCACACGTGGCCCACAAAGGGTGTTCTAGTGAAGGTAAGAACATCCCTTGCCTGCTGTCACTGGTGTTGCCTGTGAGAACACGGGGTTCTTGTGCTGTGGGACCACAGGTTTGGGTACAAACTCCTTGGAGGTGGAGACGTGGAACTTTCCTCTCCCAGCTCGTGGGTGCACTGCTGTGTTCCTCTCACAGGCTAATCCTGCCTCACCTTTTGTGCCATGGGGGATTTTGAGTGTGGACACGGGGAGGAGGGAGGGTGTTACTGTGAGCCTGTTGTGAATCTCTAGGTTAGGGAAGGATGGCTGGATGGATGGATGCTGGTTTTCCTGTCGAGATCATCCCCTGTCCGTGAGACGTCCGTGTTTTATTTATTCGGTAGAGTAAATATTTTGTATACGACGCGAGAGGAAGGCTTTTATTATAAATTTCTATGAGAAAGGAGGAAATAAAAAGGCGTTTAAAAAGGGGCCGATGGTGTGTTTGTTGTGGCCGCTGGGGGGCGCCACCAGCGCGGCGGCGAGGGGCGGGATCGAGGGCGTGGTTAGCGTTGGGGGCGTGGTCAGTGTTGGGGCGTGGTCAGCGATGAAGGGGCGGGAATAACAACTAAGGAGGCGTGGCTAGAGACGGAGGGGCAGGGTTGTGGGTTGGGTTTGTGATTGAGGGGCGGGGCCAAAGGCGGGGCCAGTGACGATTGGGAGATGGGAGAGGCCGGTGTCTGGGGGGCGTGGTCATGGAACAAGGGGCGGGCCCAAGGCAGAGTCATTGATGGGGCGGGGAAATGGGCGTGACCACGAACCGGGGGCGTGGTCAGTGGGGCTGAGGGGCGGGGTCTGTGCTGTGGGCGTGGCCGTCCCGGGGGTGCGGGCGGGATGCGGGGCTGGGATGGGCTGAAGGGCTGGGATTTGGGGTCCGGGGAGGGGCTCCGAGCGCCGCCGGGGGTTCTCCGGGGAAGGGCCGGGCTCTCCCGCACCTCCTCCCCCCGCACAGCCTCCCGCTGTTCCTGGGGAAGATCCCGCTCTCTCCGCCAGGTGCTGTGCAAACCCCGCGCGGGAGTTTCTCCCTGTTTGTTATCCCCGGGGATTTTTTGTGTAAAGCGCAGCCCTTCGCGTTTCGGCCCTGCAGCATCTCAGTAGGAAGCACCGAAGGATTTTGAGGAGCTGAGATCCTCCCAGTCCTCCTTTAATACTTAAATAAGTGTTATTAATTATTATTAGCAATTCTTTAATACTTAAATAAGTATTTAATACTTTAATAAGTATTATCAGCAGTAACATTAAGGGCTGTGAAGCTGGGACACGAGGTAAGTGACACCCTGAGGCACAGCAGCGATCAGAGGAACAGCCGTGGAGTGACCTTTCCGTGCACCTTCATTGCTGGATTGGTTTTTTGGTTTGTATTTGTTTGGGTTTTTTTCAACTTTGAAGCCTTGCTCTGGCCCAGGCATTTTGTTCAGGCCCAAAATCTCGTGCTCCTCACAAAGCAGAGATAACTCTGTGTGCCTTGGCTTCACGGGGCTTGTTGGGGTACATGAGAACCACAGAATCACAGATCCCAGGGGCGGCTCCCAGGTGTCCTGTGAGTCCACTCACGGAATCATTAGGATTGGAAGGGACCTCTGGAGAGCACCCAGTCCAACCCCCCTGCCCAGGCAGGGTCACCCGGAGCAGGTGACACAGGAACCCATCCAGGTGGGTTTGGAATGTCTCCAGAGAGGGAGACTCCACACCCTTTCTGGGCAGCTGTTCCAATTCTCCGTGGAAGGAAGTTCTGCCTTGTGTTGACGTGGAACTTGTGTTTTAGTTTATGGCTGTTGCTCCTCGTCCTGCCACTGGGCACCACTGAACAGAGCCTGGCACCATCCTGACACCCCCTGGAGATATTTGTATGGATTGACGAGATCCCCTCTCGAGTCTTTGAGGTATTTTAGAGGGGCTCAGCCCACCCTGTCAAAGGCAGTCCAAGGCCATCCTTAGGGACTCCCTCAGGAGCCCACAAACCTGCAACCACACAAGGACGGACCTCACACTCCTTACCCGAACCCTACAGCCCCGCCAAAACTGTTCCTCCCGAAAGAACACCTGTATCCCGCTGGATGCCAGCGGGAACCGTCGCCGCCGCTGCCTGCTGGGACTCGAACTTCTTTTCCAGAAATGTTGGGAGAAACCTGGACCGTTTCCAGTATAAATTAACAGGGGAAGGAAACCACGGCAAACTGCGGGATCTCCTCCGGGAGCAGCTCCAGCCGCCCCGGGCAGGGACAGAGCGGGGACACCCCGAGCCCCCGGTGCCCCTCCCGGGGCGGGTGTTCCCGTGCCAATGGGATCGGCGGCCGGAGCCGAGCCCTCTGCGGGGCGGGGCGGGCCGGGAGCCGCCCCCGCCGGGAGCTGCGGGACCCGCATGGACCGAGCCGGGTAAGGGGCGCGGGGGGCGCGGGGGGTCCCGCCCTGCAGCGCTCCCGGGGGGCACGACCGGGGCCGGGGCCGGGGTGGGCTTCGCTCCCCTCGGGGATGAAGCGAGTGGCACAACCAGCCTGGGCGTCCCCGGCCCTGGGGGTTTTCCAGGGGCTTCCATCCCCGCCCAGGATGCCCCCGGGTGGGGTTGGGGGCTGCAGCGGGAGCAGACCCCGCTCCCGCCCGCTCGTCCCCGGGCATCGCTTCATCGCGGCGGGGTCGCACCGGCCACACGTGGCCCCGGCGGTGACCGTGTGGCACCCGCGGCCCCGGGCGGGTCACGGGCGTTCGCTCACGTTGCTCGGTCACGGGAGCGGAGCCCTGACCCTCGGCTGCGTTCCCAGCTCCTGCCTGTTGGCCGACCTTGGGCCAAATCGCTTTTTCTCCGTGTGCTCAGGCTGCACATCTGCTGCTTTCAGACGGCACCCGAGTGCTTCTGAGGGGGGCTGAACAACTGTAGGAGTGGAAGTGCAAAGAGAAGCTCGAGAGCCTTGCAGTGTGACCAGAGGGCCACTCAGGGCTCCGTTCTCTTGCAGTAGCTTTGGGGTGACAGCACCGTTGGCATTTTGCAAAATTGCCTTGGGTTGAGAAGGCACTGACACCTGCAACAGGTACCCACTGAGTGTGTTGGCACAGAACATGCCACCAGGTAACACATTTCCCCTTGTCACTGCTCTGCCAGGTGGGGCATCACTAATTGCCCCCACTCAGATGGGAAAATGAGGATCAGAGCACTCCAAGGCTGCACGAGAAATCTGCAGCAGAGCTGGAGATCCTGCTCAGATCTCAGTCCTGAGCCAGCAGCTCAACCACCAGCCCTTCCTGCCCTCTGGTCGTGCTTTTATTCCTGTTGTCAGTTCAACAGAAGGGTTGTACCACACGAGGCTCCTCAGCTAAGGAGTTTATAGTGCAATTCAGTTGTCCTGGGGACGTGCTGGAGGGATGGAGACTTCCTGAGCTGCTCTGCAAGGAGACCTGGTTGGAAAATCAGGTTTTAAAACCTTCTGGAAGAGGTAAACAGAAGTGTTTGGTAGCCAGAGGGGGGGAGGCTTTCCCTGCAGAAAGAGAAGCAGAGACCAGAGATCATAAAACTGGAGTGGAGGAAGGAGTGGAGTTGGGTGCTGCCTTGAAGGGGATGGTTCAGAGCAGGAATTTGTGTTGTGCTGAAAATTTGAAGCCTGAAGGCTGAGATTGGCCCAGACACCTTCCTTACCTGGTGTGTGAGCAGGGGCAGCCTCTGCTCACCACGAGTTGCTGATGCAGAGCTGTGAGATGCTGCGGGCAGTGCTGCAAATGCCCCCTGAGCAACGTGGCACCTTGCTCTGGGCAGGTTTTAAGCAATGTGGGGGTTATTTTTTTAAGAGTAAGAGCATTTATATCACATCCAGACTGCTTCTCAAAAATTCCCTCTCCCAGCTCTGAGAGCACTGATAACCAGGACTGGCTTGACTGGTTTGTAGCTCTGCAGAAATCTCATGGACTTGCTCTGGAAAGGGGACTTGGACATAGGTTTTCTTTCCCTTGGAAGCAGGATTTCTGTGTTAAATGTGAATAGCTCCTGATGCCTCGGGCGGTTTGGGTGCTCTGGAGCAGGATGCAGCCTCCAAGCTGACATCTCACAGGGGCAGAGATGGTGTGTGGCTGCTCTGAGGGTGCTCTGGCACCTCACTCACAACCCCCTGAGCCACAGCAGGGCCTGGGGGGGTCTGAGGTGTTGACTCGTGGAAGACCAGTCACCTCTGGAGACCACACAGGTCTGACCTGGAGACACTGTGCTCCTTCTCCCGTGGTGTTTGTGTCCTCAGGGGCCCTGGGAGCTGACCCCAGACAGGCTGTCTGTGCTGCTCTCCGGAGGTGTGACGGAGTTTGGGCAGACCTGCCTGAACAGGGTCCCTCCCAGCTGACTTGTTCAGGCACTGCTGGCCCTGGCCCCACAGAGTGGGTGAACACTCACCAGGGCCGCGGGCACTTTGGCAGCAGCACCCTCCGAGCTGTCTGGTTACCTGTGCAGGTAGTGAGCTCAGATCCAGCCAGGCCAGGTCTGTGTCAGGGTGTGGTTGCACCACATTTGCAGTGTGGAGAAGCCAGCACCCTCTCCTGGATCACAATTAACTCGTGGTTGTAAGCCCCAAGTCATCCCCTCCACCACCCAGCAGTGCAGAGCTGCCCTCCGGCATAGGTGGAAGAGGGATGAAGGGTTTCATTGTGTATTTTTACCTTCATAAACTCCCCAGAGGAGTTTGCTTCTGGGGGGAAATCTGGCTCTTTGCAGCCTGCTGGCACCCTGGAGAGGAAAGTGGTTAGCATGTGGGGGTTTTTTTGAGCAACAGACTCTTTAAAAACAAAGGCCACTGACTAGTTCTGATGTTTTCCTTTTCACGCAACAGTCCATTTTATTCACAGGGTTTTCATGTTTGCTTTTTGAATTTGGAAATAACCTTGGTGGTGTTCCCTTGCAGATGAACAAAGACTTCCCCAGCTGAGCTATTCCAGAGGCTCCTGAGCTGCCTGTGGGTAGTGAGTCAACAAATGGTCTCTGTGAGCTGCCAGGAGCTGCTGCCCTCCTTGACCAGCCTCGAGAGCTTGACCAGTGCTCTGCAGTGCAGGATGCCACCGTCCCTTCTGCCAGGACATGGCAGTGAGAGGACATCTGGCCCCCCAGAGGGCTTTGGCCACCTCCTGGCAGGCAGCACTAGCCCCGCTGAAGGCGTCCTGCTGTCCAAGGGGGAACAGCCCAAAGCCCAGCTCGCCGTCTGCGAGGCTCAGCTCAGGCTGCCCGACTTCTGCAGCAGCCTCTCCCAGGACTTCATCCCCACCCTGGAGGAGATCGAGGAGTTCCTGAGGGAGAAGGCAGAGTTCCTCAGAGATGAAGGAGGAGGGAGGGACAGCAAGCCCGAGGTCAGCTCGGGTGGCTCTGGGGAACAGCCCGTCTCCGGAGTGCAGGGAGATGCCTCAAGCACTGCTCAGCCTGGAGGGACAGCTGATGGTGGGGACCGGGCAGTGGCTGCTGGGAGCATCCCTGTTGTCCTCCAAATCCAGCCTCTCCAGATGGACAGCCACCCACAGGGTGTCAGGGTGGCCCAGCTGGTCATCAGCCTGCAGGGCCCAAACCTCCCCCTCCTCCCTCAGCTCCAGCCCCCCGTGACCACCGTGGACCAAAAATACGTCAGGATTGCCCCCCTGCCAGTCCCCACGAGGCCTGGGGCTCTGGGGGATGTGCAGGAGGTGGAGGCAGCCCCCGGGCACCAGCAGGGCCCCCCTGCCCTCTCCCGGATCCACAAGTGCTCCCACCCTGGCTGTGACAAGGTGTATTCCAAGAGCTCCCACCTGAAGGCTCATTTCCGTCGGCACACCGGGGAGAAACCCTACACCTGTGCCTGGCCCAACTGCGGCTGGAGGTGAGTGGGGGGCTCTGGGGGGCAGGGGTCCTTGGAAAAGGCCTGCCAGGGCTTGGGGAGGTGGCAGGAGAGCTCCTGGCATAAAATCACCTGTTTTCTTTCCCGAGCGACTTATAGGTGAGAGCTGGAAGGAGACCCGGAGAAGTGAAGCTTGTGGAGTGTTTTGGGTGGTTTTCACTCAGTCCAAAAGTGCTGAAAATCTCCAGCTGGGGATATGTAGCTGATATTCTCCCCAGCACCCCAAATCCTCCTTGAACTGGGTACCTAAACCCCCTCTGGCAATAGACCTTTTCCAAGTGATGTGTTCATCTTGGAAGCTTTCTGTGTCTAGCTCAGGACAATTTCTGCAGGAGTCTCAGTCCTTCCTCAGCAGCCAGTGTGTAATTCTGTGTTTGTTTTGCAACCTTTTGCTTTCTCTTGCTGTTTGCTGCCCTGGCTGCCCGTATCCCTCACACCCCCGTGGGCCTGTGGTGTATCTCCATGTTGCATTTACTTTTGTTTGCTCTGCACATGATGGTGGTTGTTGCTTCCTTTGATCTGTGTTCCCTAAATGAGCCCTGCTCCCTAAATTAACGCTGCTATTTAATCTGGCTGCACTTCTCTGATTACTGCTCTGCTGGGGTGTTCTCTTCCTGGTGCTGGGTGCCTGTCCCGAGGGGCAGGATGCTCGTACAGCCTTTGGCAGGAAGGGCTGACAGTCCTCAGGTCTTTCCATCAGCAGATCTCCAGGGATATCACACACAGAACTGGTGTTGGCAGCTGAGCTTTCCTGGTTTCTTACACAATGTTCTGGCTTTCCCTCTCTGCCTCGTTCCCCTGGATGGTTTCACAGTGTCTGTCTTGGGGTACTGAAACCCCGGAAGGTTTGAGACTAATCTGAATTTTGGGGCTCCCTCTTGCTGCCCCTTTGCCCTCAGAAACTGTCCCTCCATTTCAGCTGCAACCACAGCACAGGTTTATCAGCATCAGCTTCTTTTCCAGTCCCAACCAGGAGTGCTGAACCCTCCTGTACCTGTTGCTCAGAGCCTGGGGATTGAACAGGAGACAGTGGCAACCACACAAGCATCACTTTTCCCTCTGGGCAGGAGGAAAGGGCTGGTGCCAGCCTGTCCAACAGCATCCTGCAGGCTGCTGTGCTCTGCTCCCCCTCCACAGCATCAGCTGTGCTATCAGATGGACTCACCTGGTTCTCCAGGCTGTGCTCCCTTTTCTAGACATGTCCCTCACTTAAAAATAGATCTGTCCCTTCTCCTGGCCCTGCTCTTCATGGGGAAGCTGAGACCTTGGAACTCTCTTCTCTCCACAAAGCTGGGAAAGAAGTCAGTGGTTCTCCTTGAAGACCTGAGGGTGGCCTTGGGACACGTCTTGTTTCCACAGAGGTTTTTGTGAGCAGCCACAGGATTTCCCAGCCCAGGTGTGAGCCTGAAATCCTCTCACAGGAGTCTGGGGTTGCAGCTGAAGCTCTTTGCTTTGTGCTTTTTTGCGTGGGCACGTTTCAGCCAGATGGAAAAACCCTCCCGTCCTAATGCTCCTGCCATCTGTGCTGGCTCCTCACAGGCAGAGCAGGAGTAAATCCAGCCTGGTCCTGCTCTCCAGCACTGCCCTGACATGCAAAGCCATCCTGGAGCCACTCCAGGCCTTGTGAGACCTTGGGGGTGGCACTCAAAGTACCTGTGACCCACCTGCTGCCCGTGCCCCCAAGGCTGGAGCTGTGTGTGCCAGGTGGAAGGAAGGTGCAGGGGAATTAAGTGGGGACACTTCATGTGGTTAAAGGGACTTTCCAGGCTGTTCAGCTGATCTGCTCTGGGTGTGGGAGTTACACAGACCAGCAGTGTGGACACTGGGTATTCCCGTGGTCCCTGTTCCTGCATCCTCAGAACCAAGAGTCACTTTGGCACGGGAACCCCTGCCCCATGCTCCAGGCTGGCTGTGTCTGCTTTTCCTCCCTTTTTCTCTGTATTTAACTCAGCTCCCAGGCAGCTTCTCTTTTCCCAGCTCCCAGTCCAGCCCAAGCTGACGGGGAAAACTTGCTGCCACTGGGAGGAACAAGGGGATGCTCAGAGTTTGCAGGGAGAACCCACACCCTCAGAGAAAACAAACCTTCTCTCAACAGCTCTGGGCTGGATGGGGAGTTATAGGAAAGCCTTCCCTCCCAGGCTCCTGGACTGTGTGTCCTTTAGGCACTGCCAGCCTGGGAGGATGCCCCAAAAATCCCTGTCTCACCATGTCTGGCCTCGGGGCTCTCAGCTCCTGCATTTCAGCAAGTTAAAACAAATGAAGGAAGCAGGTGGCCAGTGTCCTTAAAGAGCAGTGGAAAGAAATGAAGATCTCAGTGGGTGAATTACTTTCCCCCTTCCTATTTCCAAGCAGGATCCCAAACCCTATTTCCAAACCTGGAGGAGTCTGTTTCGGGAGCTCTGCCCTCCCTGGCAGGTTGGATGGGGCAGAGGAGTGACCTGTCTAGGGTGATCCAGGAGGCTGTGGCAGAGGCAGAGCTCAGCCTCCCCCATGCCAGGGCGCCCATATCCCCTGTCCTGTCCAGCAGGGAAGGCTGGACCCCACCTCTGTTCCCTTCTCCCGCAGGTTCTCCCGGTCGGACGAGCTCTCCCGTCACAAGCGCTCCCACTCCGGGGTGAAGCCCTACCAATGTGCTGCCTGTGAGAAGAAGTTTGCCCGCAGTGACCATTTAGCCAAACACCTGAAGATCCACCGGGGCCAGCCCTGCAGCCCACGGACACCTCAGGGGGGCAGCAGGAGGTAATTCCTGCTGCTCATCCCTGCCAAGAGGCCCCAGAGCCGAGCAAACGGTGCGGAAACCACCAAGGAAGAGGGGGAAATGACTCTTTGCCAAATGATAGGAGAGGCTGTGTCAGCCCTCTGTTCAAGGATGACAATGGTCATGGCCTGTTTCTGGTACTTCTGTCCTTCTCTGAAATACATGTGATGGAAAGTGGAGTTAATCTGGGGTGAGAGAGTGTGTGGGGGGAAGTGGGGTTGGGGTGAGACAGCCTGGCAAGATTTGCACACCTTGAGAAACAGAGCAGAGAATGTCCAGCCCAGGGGAGCTTTGGATGTCCCATCCCTGGAAGTGTTCAAGAACAGGCTGGATGGGGCAACCTGGGATAGTGGGAGGTGTCCCTTCCCCTGGCAGGGGGTGAAATGAGGTGGGATTTAAGATCTCTTCTGGCCCAAACCATTTTATGATTCTATGATTTGTTCTGCCTGTGTGTGAGCTCAGCTGGTGGGGTGGCATCCAGGGGAAACTGGGTGGATAGGGTCATGAAATCCTTGAATGGTTTGGATGGGAAGGGACCTTAAAGATCATCTCCTTCCACCCCCTGCCACGGGCAGGGACACCTTCCACTAGCCCAGGTTGCTCCAAGCCCCGTCCAACCTGGCCTTGGGCACTTCCAGGGATGGGGCAGCCACAGTTTCTCTGGGCAACCTGTGCCAGGGCCTCCCCACCCTCACAGGGAGGAATTTCTCCCCAATATCCAATCTAAACCTATTCTCTTTCAGTGGGAAGCCATTCCCCCCTGTCCTGTCCCTCCAGTTCCTGGTGAAACGGGGGATGGATGGGGGGTGTTTGCTGTGGGGGCTGAAGCAGGCATTGGAAATGGCCTTTCTGGTGTGGTTGAGGTGGTTGTGTTGTCCCCAGATCTGCTTTTCTGTGCTGGTGGTTCTCCATCTGCCTGGCTCTGGGCACACTGGAGTCCTCAACGTGTGAAGGGGTTGGGAGATGCATCTGTGGAGCTCAGTCCAAGGTGTGCCCTCAAAGGGATCAGGAAAGCAGCACCAGAAAAGTCCTTTTTAACATGAAAGGAGAGTGCCAAGGAGAGACAGGGATGTGTGAGACCCCAGAAGAGCTGAGAGCCCCTATCAGGGGGGCAGAGCAGCTCCCGGGCTCTGACGTCCCTCTTGTATTTGACTTCTGGTTAATTAAAGGCCAACTCCTCGCTCCTGTGCCAAGTTCCTGAGCTTCTGCAAACATCTGGGAGGGAATTATGTGCTTGTACAAACACAGAACAAGCGTCAGGAGTTCGAGGTAGGCAGGGTGCCCTTTCCACGTGGCTTTGCCAGCACGTCTCGAGCTGATATTTGGTGCCCTGCAGGCTCTAACTCGGCTGTGCCCGTGCCCTGCTGCTGATACCCCCATGTTCTCCCAGATCAGGGCTTCACGTCCTTGTCTCACGCTGCCCTTGAGCTGCTTTAGGGAGGAATGTTGAGTTGTGCCCAAAACAAGGACTGGGAAATGAGCTGATCCCTATTCCCTGCCCTGTGGAGGGCGGGTTTGTACAGCAGAGAGGTTGTTCTCTGGTCCCTACAGGTTTTTTTTTTTGGTGGTGACTCTGGGGAAGGGAGAAGCTGGAGAGGTGGGGGTGGGTATGGTGTCCTTCTCCAAGGGGTGGTAGAAGCATCTCTGGATGAGACACCAGACTTCAGTGTGAGACACACAAGCTTGGGAAGGAATCCCCCCTGGGGACGGTGTCGTGTGGCTGGAGATGTGGATGTTGGGGGCTCTTCCAGCTTTGCTGAAGTCACAGCAGTGAAAGAAGGAGCAAGGGAGCTGAAAATCCTTGTTTTGCTCTTAAGCTAGAATATTTAGGGATGCTTATGCCGCCCCTGAAGGAGATGCTGATACAATGGAGATGGATGAAGTAGGGGACTTCCCACCACTGAGGTTCTCTGAGGGTCTCCCTGATGATCTTGTTTCTCCTGCTGTTTGTCATTCCAGGGGCCACAATTCAGGCCAGGACCTGATGCTCTACAAGCACTAAAGAGAAAGGTCCTCTTCCCCCACACTTTTGGCCCCCAAAAACAGCCAGTTTCCCTAAAATCTAACCCCCCCCGGGTGCAGAAACGCTGTTTCCACAGAGGAGAAAGGTAACTAAAGCCGGGGTTTGGATCCTTCTTTGTGGAAACAAGCCATCCAGCAGCTGAAGGATGGCTCCTGGCCAGGCTCCAGCCTCAGCCAAGTGGGGAACCAGCTGTGGCTGCAGGAAGAGCCACAGCTAATGGAGCTGCTGTTGTGATTCCAGAGGGCTGGGGTGTTCCTGGGAGAACACCCTCATCGCCGGCTTTCCCAATCCCCGGGTGGCTGGAACCACACTGCTCACCTGCAGATCCAAGCCTTCCCCAAAGGTCTGGGAGGGCTGGTTTCTTGATCCTGGCTTAAAACTCCCTCATCCTTAGCTCCCAGGTGGGAAGGTGTGGATGGGCTGCACGGAAAGCGGGATTTCTGCCCTGGGAGTGTGAGTGTGTGAGACCTGCAGTGCCCGTGTTGGCTGTTTGGGGAGAGCTCTCCCCTCTGGGGAGGGAAGGCGACTTTCCCAAGGATTAGCTGGAGATCTGGGGCTGCTGTGGGCGCTCCTGGCCTGGTCAAGCATGACCAGATGCCAGCAAGGAACACATCCCAGGTGAGTGTGCTGGGGATGAGCCGGAGCACACAGGCATTCCAGAGCCTATTTTGGGCTGCCTTTTGCTCCAGAGGCTTTTTGCCTGGCAAGGAATTCACTTCATGCCCTCTTTGCTGGAGGGCTCTCTGCAGAGGCCACGTGCCAACATGACTCATGCCCCGGCTCGTGCTTTTCTCTGTCCCCCTTTGCTCTTCTCCCTCGCTCCAGACTCGCTCCCAGCACTCCCTGCTCGCTCTGGACCTGCCCCATCCTGCCTCCCTCCGCTCCCAGCCCAAGGCAACTGGTGAGGCTGCACCCTTCCAAACGGTGGGGCAAGAACAGCCACAGTGTCTCATCCTTAGTCCCAAGCCCTTCTCTGTTCTCCAGAGGGTCCACTCTGCTCCTGGGGTGGAGCTGCTGTGGGACACAGGGCTGGGAGCACCGGCAGTGGGGACTTAACAGCCTGCCCGGTGTGTTTTGCCATTTCTTTAGAAAAACCACAAAGGGAGAGGAGGGATTTTTATAAAACAACCCACCCTAGATCCGTATCTCTTGTGCAGTGGGTGTTGTAGCCTCACCTGCTTCCCTCTGGGGGCTTTGGATGGCTTACAAGGTTTACTGGAGGCTCTGTAATTACCCCTCCTTTGCTCCAGAGAGGATACTGCTCCCCAGAAACGTTCACTGGGCAAGTGAGATGCGACCTGTGGCAGCAGGAGGGACGAGGATCCTTCTGCCTCCCCACAGGCAGAGAAGCACCAGGGCTGCCAGGAGGTGACACAAGTGTCACTGAGGCTGCTGGGCTTTAACCTGGCTCTGCCTCAGACGGTGCTCTAAGTGAATCCATGTGCCTGCCATGGATTCCCTGTCGGAGGAGCGGGAATGGGAGGGACTGGTTGCCTTGTGCTGGAAGCCAGGAGGCTGTCAGGTTGCTAAGCAAGTGCTTTTTAAGAAATTCATGCAGGCAGACAGGAGTTGTAGCAGGGCAGGACGTGGGAGAGCACGGAGAGAAATTCAGGCAACGTTTCTAAATTTGCAGCTGGGGCTCTGGATTTAGCAGGAGCGCAGTGCAGAGCCCTCCATCCTCGGCAGCACGAGTGACAGCAGTGACATCCCCAGCTGCCCACGTGGAGCTCGTGCTGGCTGCTCATCCTGAGGGATGAGCCAAGGGCCAGTGCAAATCCTCAGCCTGCTTTAAAGCCCCTTTGGAAATATAGCTCTAAGATGGATCACTGCATTAGGGTTTTCTTTTTCCTTCCCCCCCCCCCCAGTAAAATCAGAACTGGATTTTTATTAATGATTCTACTTCCAGACTTCAGTTTTACTGCAGGTAAATGTAATTCTTGGAGTAGTTGCTGTCTCTCACAGTGGTTCAGCAGCAGAATTTGGCTTGAGGCAGGGAGAAAACTAGAATCTGAGCTTTTTGGGAAGAACAGGGAAAAAATCCCTTTGTGGGAATGGGATTGAACAGGCAAAGAGGGTCATCTGAGGGTTCCTCCACTGCCACCAGCTGGGCCAGATCCTGGCCCTGAGTGACAAAAGGTGGGAGCTGCTAATGGGATAGAGCTGGAGAAGGTTTGCAGCTCTATGGGCAAGGTTTTATCCTTCAAGTGGCTCCTCAGCACTTCTTGGGCCTGAAGCTGGAAGGGAAAGGGAAGGAGCCCTGTGTTGGATCACACATGTCCCAGGACGTGGTTCAAGCTCTTCTGGAGCCATCACTGGGCACAAAACACATTTCCTTGCCCAGGTGTGGGTACATCCCGGCCTTGTGCTGCAGGGGATGCAGGAGCTCCCACCCTGGGGACTGAGGGGTTAATGAACAAACGAGCTCAATTAAAACAGCTGGCTGGGCTTGACTTACTCCTTCATAATCAGCTTTCTAAGGAGGCACAGGAGCACTCCCAGGGAGGCTGGAGCAGGGAAGAACATCCCCATGTAGGAATGAGGCTGATGAGTGAGTGGCTCTTGTCCGTCGCTCGCCCCGCAGGGCTCGGTGACCCCAACCCCGGGCTGGGGGTTTGTCCTTAGCATGGACTTGGGACAGGTTGTTTGCAGGGATGCACCTCTCCTAGGAGCTGCTCTCCGCTGCCTGTGCAGGTAAAACACTTTGCTTTCTGATGTTCTGCCCCAAAGAGGGGGAGGTTTCCAGCTGATGGGACGAATTCCCTGTGGGAGAGGACAGGGGGGTGACAGTGTCTGCTCAGTCGTGACGTTCTGTGTTTCATCCAGGAACTGGGCAGTGGTACAGAAAAGGCTTATCCTTCCCTGCTTCCCTCGAAAATCCACCCAGATAAAGCCTTTTTTTGGCGTAGAAAGTACGTGGTGGGAGTTGGGAGGGGGAATCAGATCCGTGATTCGACATCCACGGATCCTTGGCTGCTTTTGGAAACGTCGGTTCTTTCCTGTGAATTGCCCTGAATTCCCCTCAATTAGAGCTTCCCAGCTCCTTGCTGAGGGAGCTGAGCGAGCTGCAGTCTGGCTCCTCACCTCTGCTACCTCAGACCTGGGGTTTGTTTGCACAGAAAACGGGCTCTGGGATGAAATTCCAGGTGCCACATCAACGGTCTCTGCCCTGCGACGGTGCAGGTGGGTCAGCTGAGGAGAACCAGTGAGGAATTTTACTCAGGATGTGGGAACTTCACGAGGGGAATCGTGCATTTGGTAGGAGAAGGGCTGTGTAACACAGTGGGAACTAGTTTGGCAACGTTGGGTAACACCCAGAGCTCTCTGGTGCACAGCTTTAGGGCTAAACTTTCACAAGCACCTGAAACCACCTCTGAGCTGCTCTGAGCCCTCCTGAAAAAAAATTCCAGCCCTACTCCTCACTGGGTAGAGAAGTTCTCGTGTAACTGGGCAATTCTGCTTTTTCCTGAAATGAAATACCAGCTGTGCCTTTTGAGTATCAACAGCTATTGTAGGACCTGGGCACTGCACGTCCTGTTTGGCAAAGTATTAAACTCTGGAGCCTTTCCTCCAGCTCCCCTGTGAGCTTTGGACTTGCCCCAGTGAAATACTGAGTGGGGATGGAGGTTTGTGGACTGGAATAGCCCCCCTGTGCCTGCTGTAGGTGCTGAACATCCTCCCTCCCTCTTATCTGCCCTGAAAGTGCAGTTGCAGGACGTGGGGGCTCTTGTATCCATAGATTCAGAAATAAAGGCTTGAAACCAGCACTTTCTGAGAGCATCACAAACACCAAAGCAGAGGCAGAGCAGCTCTTTGCAAAGGAAACCTGGAGAAATGAAAAAAAAAAACAGTGGAAAAAGGCTTTATTGGGTCTGAGAAATAAGAGATTTTGGGCAGGGAAGGGAACCCAGGGATGGGAAGTGAGTTACATCATCATCATCATCATCTAGGTGCTCTAAAAGTGAAGGCTGCAGGTATTTGGGGGGCTCTGAGTGCTTTGAAATACTCTGTGGGCATCCTGCAGGGTCTTTGGGATCTCTGTGAGGTGATGACTTCCCACATCCTGGGATCCTAATACTGGGAATTGAAGCCTCAGTGAGAAACCTGGGACGGTGGAAGGAAATGAGCTTTAAGATCCCTTCCAACCCAAACCATCCTGGGATTCTGTGATCCAAGAAGGCCTTGAATATTAAGCTTCCTGAGGGAGCAACAAGTGTTTTTTCATTGTGAAATTTTAAAAAACCAGACAAACAGCCCTTCCCTTATCTAAAGGCTTTTTCCATGTCAGTGGATCCTCTTGCTAGTGAGGCACAAAACCTCTCAGAGCTGTTTCTGCTCATTCCTTGGCTTTTAGATTCCCAATGCTCAGTCTTGGAGCTGGATTAAAATAGCCACCTGTGTGTTCTGGAGCGAGGCCTCCTTAGGGTCTGATTAGCTGTTGCATAATTTTCTGGCTTCCCTGGTGCCTGTGCTTCCATCCTGACACTCCCTCACGTCATGGCAAAGCCAGAGCCTTGCAGGAAGGCTTCTCCTCTTGGAGAAGTCAGTGCTTTTGGAAATCTCTCTGGCTGGGTTGTCCTGTGTTTTCCTACAGCTCAGGGTTCTGTATCCCCTTCGTGACGTTGTCCTCGCTCAGAACTTGCAAAATCCATCTCTAGGTGCTGCCACCTGCTCAACACTCCCCAGAAATCCCCACTGAAACGTGTTTATTTTTCTTTTTCTGCTGCCTCTTCCTCTTTAAAATGCCTTTGCACACGAGTTGCTTTTTGAAAAAGGTGTGTTTGCCTATGGGCTCTTTCCAAACCCTGCCTTGTTGCCTGCTGGGTTTTATCCCAACCCTTTGTCTTGTCCTATATCTTTCCCCTTGTGATGTTGCCTAAGATAGGAACAAGCCCACGTTGGAGAGCGGAGCAGAACAAAGTGGGAGTTGCACAAAGCAGGAAATTTATTATCCCTCTAAAAAAAGCTGCCAGTGGTGTCACCCCAGTGATGCAGCTGTAGCTGAAGGTCCTTGGGATGCTGAGGTGGGGTTGTTTTCTTTGTGTGCTGTCCCTGTCCCAAGGCAGCCTGTGCTGTCTCTTTGGATTCAGCCCCTGTGCTGCTCCCTGAGCACTAAGGAAATCTGAAATTTTTGGGTGTGCTGGTGGATTTAGCTGATGGCAAGTGGAAACAAAGCCACAAAGAGATTATTTTATGTATTATACTTCAGCAGTTGTTTATAGAAGGGATGGATTCAGGAAGAACCTGGAGTTGTGTTGGTGCCCTCGGAGATGGAGCTTTGCTCTTCCAGAATGTTTCCAGACCCCACTGGAGCCTGGTAGGTGCTGATAGACCAGGTCTGGGTGATCCTGGATTGTGGGAAATGATCCTTTTTGGAGCTGTGTCGTTCTCCCACTCTGCACTAAAGTACTCAAAAGACACAGCACAGTGGGTGCCAGTCCTGGGGGTTTTTCCTCTGGAGCTCTTGGAGAAACCAGCTGGTTTTGGGAGCGCTCCCTGTGCTGGTCCCTTCCCAAAGAAAGGGAATTAGCTCTGTTTGAGGTGCACACACACAGAGATGTTGGCAAACCTCCCACCTCTGACTCCACAGGAAGAGCCTGAGAGGGCTTTGCGTTATTTCCCTCTTTGTTTTTTGTCTCGGGGTGGGAGAAGGGAGTCCAGGCTTTAAACAGAACAAAGGCTTAGGATGGAGCATGGCAGGGAAGAGGGATGGGCACAGGGAAAAGCTCCTGGAGTTTGTCAGCAGGTCTGGCTCACTGTGGCTTAGTTGGGTTTGATTCATCTGCAGTGAAAATCAGGTAGAGCTGAGGAGGCAACTGCTCAGTGCCTTGGGAAAGGGGCCTCCTGAGCTCCCAGCTGGTCCTGGGTCAGTGCTTCCTGGCCTGGGCATTCCCAAGGGAAAAGCAGTGCTGATAATGTGAAGTGCTCTGTGGAAATAATGACTGATGCTTTCCACAGGAAAAGGAAATATGGACATGCTTTCACTTCAGAGGGGGATTTTTTTTGTTCCTTTTTCTCCTTTCCCTCTTCTTCCCCCTGCCTGCTCTCTCTCGCTGTTTTTTTTTAATTTCAAAGTGGAGCTGGGAAAACCAGGAACCATCCTCTCAACTACTGCATTTAAAAATAAAATTAACTTCTGTAAATTAATAAATAATGATCAGCCTGCTTGAAAACTTCCTCTCCTCCCATGACAAAGTGCTTTGGGGGAAACCCTTATACCTCATCCCTGTAGTCAAAAGGCATCTCGAATCCTAAACTCTTACTCTGCTTTCTGTTTCCCTGTGACTGTGCAGTAAGTTCTGATAAAGGGTTATTTAAAGGTGTTGTGAAATGCAGGATCGTGTTCCTGACATTACAAACCTCCTTTTGCTTCATTTGGCTCCAAATGGGACCAGCTGAAGGAGTAAACCCAGGGAATTTCCTTCACAGAAGCAGCTTTAAAGGCAGCTGGAGCTGCTCGGGCTTAACCAGGAGCTGAGCTACAACTCCCGTGCTTGGGGATGGTGGTAATTCCCAAAGAAAACCATCCCTGGCTGCGGTGCTTTGGGTTGTACCCGTGGAGCAGGACTCAGGTTTGGGAGGAGGCACAAACAAAATGTGCAGAGACTTTGTGGAGTCTCAGGTAACCTTTCACCAGCCCGTGTCTAGGAAACAGGAGCTGCGTGTTTTGGCATGAAGGGCTGCTCCAAAATTCTCTTCTCCTGTGCCAAAGGGTGGGAATCCCATGGAGAGGCTGTTTGTTCACCGAGGGAAGGGGGAGAGTGTCGCCTTCTCAGTGCTCCCAGTGCCCGATCCAGTGGGAAGGAACTTGGGTGTCACACTGGTATGAAGAGTGTGTTTGAGGTGGATATCTCAGCAAGGCTCCAGGAGAGCTGGAGAGGGGCTTTGGATCAGGGTCTGGAGGGACAGGAAAAGGGGGAATGGCTTCCCACTGACACAGGGCAGGGTTAGGTGGGATATTGGGAAGGGTGGGGAGGCCCTGGCACAGGTTACCCAGAGAAGCTGTGGCTGCCCCATCCCTGGAAGTGTCCAAGGCCAGGCTGGACGGGGCTTGGAGCAACCTGAGATAGTGGAAGGTTGTTGTTTGGATCCAGGGGTCAGTTCATTGGATCCAGGGGTTGAGTTGGTTGGATCCAAGGGTGGGTTTGTTTGGATGTTTGGATCCAAGGGTGGGGTTTTTTGGATGTTTGGATCCAAGGGTGGGTTTGTTTGGATGTTTGGATCCAAGGGTGGGTTTTTTTGGATGTTTGGATCCAAGGGTGGGTTTTTTTGGATGTTTGGATCCAAGGGTGGGTTTTTTTGGATGTTTGGATCCAAGGGTGGGCTTTTTGGATGTTTGGATCCAGGGTTGGGGTTTTTTTGGCTCTAGTGGCTGGTTTGTTTAAATCCAGGGGTCTCTTGGTTGGACCTAGTGGTCGGTTATTTATATCCAGCATGGTTTATTTTAATTTTTGACCCACTTTGCCGCACTCCACCTCGCGCCCCTTCCTCTCCCTTACCGCTCCCTGCAGTGCCTGGGGGTCCCCCCCAGCGCCTCCCCGCTCTCCCCCCATTCCCGGAACCCCCGTGCGGCCCCTCCGCGCTGTCCCTGCCCGGGTCTCCCCCCTGCCCACGTCCCCCCGTGCCCGGGCCGCGGGCACATGGCCGCGGGCGGCCGGCCGGGCACTAGGACCGCGCCGGGACCGCGCCGCGCGAGCCGCGCCCTCCCATTGGCCCGCGGCCCCCCCGCGCCGCGCCGCCATTGGCCGCGCCGGCGGACCGTGGGCGGAAGCGGCGCTACGGCGGCCGCGGAGGGTCAGCGGCCGCCCCGCCGTGTGTAACGCGGCCGCCCCGCGCTCCGCCCGCCCGGGATGCGGCCCCGGCGCCCGGGCCGGGCATGAGGGACGGCGGGGGGGCCGCGCCCAGCACCGGGACCGGACGGGAGCGCCGCGCCCGGGCACCGGCGGGGCTCCTCCTCGGTGAGCGGGGGCGGGCGGGGCGCGGCGCAGCGCCGGGCCGGGGGGCGCGCTGGGTCCGAACGATCCCCCCCGCGCGGGGCTGCGGGACGCTGGGACGGGGGTCCCGCGGGCGGCCCGGGGCTGTCCCGCCTGCCCCGCTCCGCCGGGGAGGAGAGGGAGGGGAGGGATCGGTGCCCGCCTGCAGCCGGGGCTCGGGGGGTCCCGGCGTTGGGTGTTTGCATCCAGGGGTGCGCTGGATCCAGGGATTCTTTGGATTCGGTGGCTGGTTGGATCCAGGGGTGGGTGGTTTGGATCCAGACGTTGATTGGTTGGATCCAGGGATTGACTGGATCCAGTGGTTGGTTGGATCCAGGGATTGATTCGTTGGCTGCATCCAGGGGTTCTTTGGATCCAGGGCTTGGCTGGTTGGATCCAGGGGTTGATTGATTGGATCCAGGGATTGATTGGATTTAGGGGCTGGTTAGTTGGATTCAGTGGCTGTTTGGGTCCCAGAGTGGGTTGGTTGGCTGGCAGGATCCAGGGGTTATTTGGATCCAGGGGTTGGTTGGTTGGATTCAGTGGCTACTTGGATCCAGGGATTGATTTGATTTAGGGGCTGGTTGGTTGGATCCAGGGGTTGTTTGGATCCCAGGGTGGGTTGCTTGGATCCAGGGGTTGGTTGGAGGCCATGGTGGGTTGGTTGGTTGGTTGGTTGGATCCAGGGGCTGGTTAGTTGGATCCAGGGGCTGGTTAGTTGGATCCAGGGGTTGTTTGGCTCCCAGGGTTGGTTGGTTGGCTGGATCCAGGGGGTGGTTGTTTTTCAATTCCTCGCTCCACCGCTATTTTTTTTTTTTTTCCCAGTCCTCCTGCACTGCTCTCCCTGAGCTGGGTGGATTCCTGCCCACATCAATGAGGGAGGTGGAGAGGAAAGCATGCAAATCCCTGCTGGGATCCTTTATTTTGTATGCACATGTACACACACACCTGTGTTACCTCCACAGCCAACCTCCACTAACCCCCGTGTGCTGTGCCGGGGGGCTGGAATCCAGAGCCCTTCCATGGTGGTTTTAAGGAGCAGCTCCTGAGAAACACAGGGATTGCTCTGTGGGCGTTGGGGGGAGCAGAATCCAGTCATTAGCATTTCTCTCTCCTCATCCTGTTCCCAACAAACACGATCCCCGTGCCTGACACAGCGGCGTGTTCGTGATTTCGGTCGGGCTGTTTATTTTTAGGGTCTCAGCGCCTGTTTGGAGGGAATAGTTGTTCCATCCCCATGGCAACGGGGCTGAGTGTATCATAAACATTGTTAAAGGAGAGCTTTTCCAGCTTAAATGAGACTTCCCTCTCATAATCAAGCTGGGATGGACGTGAACCATTTAACCTGTTGTTTGGGGTTGTTCCACAGTGCAGACCTTGCTCTGAACTGAGGATGCTTCTGCTTCACTCATTCCCACTGAAGCCAATTTAATCTGCTGTTGGTAAACATCCCCCTCAGTCCATCTTCAGGAGGAAGCAAGTGTAATCTGCTTAGGAGCTTCCAGGGAAATCAGTGTTTTTATGGCTTAGTCAGGAACAATCCCATCAGTGCCACAAACCAGGCAGGGACTGATCAAAGGTGCTTTGGGTTTGAAGTTTCCCATTCTCTCTCTTTGTCCTAAACCTTCCCATGCTCTCTGTGCTCTCATATCCTGAAAAAGGAGAGCTAGGAAAGGGAGACTGTTCATCAGATTGTGGAAAAGCAGGGAAATGAGGTTTATCCATAAAATTATCAATGCTGGCATGTCAGTCGTCCCCAGCCAGGGGTGGAGGGTCAGTGATTGGAGCAGCTGGAGAAAGTACTTTGAAATCCCCTTTTTCACTGTTTTCCATCAGTGTCAGTCGTGATGATCAAAATCTTGTTTGGTAACAAAGGGGCATCATTGTCTCTGTATGGAGATTTAAAAAAAAACACCCAAAAAGCTGTTTGGCTCATCCACTGCCAACCTGAGCCTGCAGCCATAAATCCAGTGGGAATCCCGATGCCACTGCTGTCCTTCGTGGCTTGTTTTCTGATCCTGGTTTGCTAATTCAGGAAGCAAGTGAGAAATATGCAGGAAGCAAGTAGAAAAATAACTGAGGAAAAACTAGAAAATACTAAGAAAAACAAATACTCATTTCTCAGGAGTTGAAAAGCTGAAACAGTTTGTTCCCGAGTCCCGAAATAGTTGTTAACACCTAAATTTCATCTGAAGCAACTTACATTTTTGAGCCAGGAACCCAAAATTTATTGCAACTTGTTTTGAGTTTTTTTTAAAAAAAAAAAAAAAAAAGAAAAAAAAAAGAGGCTTGGAGTGGGATTAGGCAGTGAAAACTCTGGATCAGCTCTTATCATAAGGACAACCTCCAGCATTTCCTTCCAGGGAACTTCCTGCCTCGATAACCACGACTTCTCCTTCAGAACAGGCTGATTTTCCTGACTCCTTTGGAAACAACAGGGGAAAACAAGGATTTATTGGGTCTAGGGTGTTTTTTTTGTCCCTTACTCTTACCTGATTTTACTAAGTTATTAGAGAAGGTACAATTTGATTGCTACTTGGAAAGCTGCCAGGGTTTGGAATTTTTTGGAGGGTGGTGTTGCAGGTGTGGAATTCTGCATCTCTGCTTTAATTCCTTGTGAATAATAACTTTGTTTTACACATATAACAGTTTTTAACCTGGTATTTCACCTGTCTGTGTGTTCTGGAAAAGGACTCAATACTCTTTCGTGCTTCCCACCACATCAGGGTATGTAAAAGCTGTTTTTTGGACAACAGGTTGGTTTTTTTTCCCCCTCTTTCTAAAATTAATTAAAATTGATAAAATCCTAAAAGTACCAGTTCAGGTGAGCCACCGTCTCAGGAGCTTGAAAAGGTTTTGTGAAAGGTTTATTAGTAAAGGGATATTTCCAGTGCTGTGCTAACGAAATGGTTGCCTGGTTGTATTTTGATAAGCACTTAATTAGATACTTTATCAGCCGTGTCCCACCGCCCTGCCCCTCTACTGAAATAAAAGGGGTTGGGCAGCCACTTATTTATGAATTTTATTTAGTTGCCTGGACAAAGACATTGAAAAAACCTGATCAGACTTTTGAGGTTTGGAACCCGGCCTTGGGCCTGTGACCTCCAAAAGTCTCCTTCAGCCAACCCCGTTGTTTGTTTTCCTGGAACAGCTCTCAGGGCCTTGTGTCCACAGGAATATTGCACAACGGGGCAGGAGTTATTGTCTCCAAATTCCTTCTGTTCACACACCATGGCCATCTCAGGCTGCCTGAGGAACCCTGGGAATGGCTCTGTGGGGTGAAGCGTGACCGGTTCCGTGTTGGACTCACAGCACAAGCCCGGATTTCCTGGAATTTCCTGGAGCTGAAGCCTTGATTTGCTCGCCTGAACGTCTCACCTGTGCCACTGTGAGGTCCCCCAGACCTGTTGCTGCCTTAATTTCGTTATTTTTGAGCTGAGCAGAGGTTCCTGTGTCTCCTGAGTGTGACAGCTGTGACCCAGCCGGTTCAATCGCGGTGGTTTTGTCCTCGCTGTGTGACCGTGTGACATCCTCCCTTTCCTTTTGCTCCATCTCTGTTCCTGTGTGGGTTTTACTCAGCCCATCTGCAGAACTCATCAGGCTGCAGATGCTGGTGAGAGAGGCTGTTGGAACGAGTGGAGGTGAAAGATTACTGGGGATTACTCGGTGTCCAGTCAAAGCACAGGAAATCTGCCACAAGACCTTGAACACGGTTAGGCCAGGCCTAATTCCCCCCTCCAGTCCTGCCTCTGCTCCCTCCTCAGGGCCTGGCAAGGGGTGCCTGTCCTTTTTGAGCACAGAGGGAGTTTGTTTGGCTGCAGTCAGTGTAGCTGCTGGGTGAGATTAGGGTGAGATTGCCACGTGCCCGCTGTGCCACCCCTGGCTGCTCACCCTCCTTCCCAGGAGGTGCAGAGCCCGGGGCTCTGTAATCACACGCACGGGGCTGGTTGTGGCTGTGGCACAGATGCAGGAGGAGAAGTCGCCGGAAAGATCCATATCTCATGTCCTGGCCCTGCTGTAAACTCTGAGGCTTTGTAAAGTCAAGGCCCTGGAAGCTGCAGCAGCAGCAGCAGGAGAAGGCTCAGGTTTGCAGCCAAACTCTGTCAGCTCCTCAGTGAACTTCAAGGGTCATCCGTAGGCGTCAGAGAAGATCTCAAGACAATAATAGTGCTCTATTTTAGCATGCTCATTACAAAGTATAACTGCCCTCTGCCTCTGGCAACTATTTTTGCCTCTGCTCAGATGGTGCAGGAGTGGCAAGGCCGTTGTCACAAGCAGCAGTGCTGCCTCTCTGCCTCCTTCCCTCGTCGGCTTTTCGCTTTAGACCTTTTTCCTTTCTCCATGAAAATAACCTTCAGCAGAAAGATGGCTCGCAGGGGTGTGTTTTGTAATTATTGGTGCATTCATCCGGAAGAAAAAGCAATCAGATTTGTGCTGACAGGGAGCTGTGAGAGGAGGTTGGGGCCTTTTCATGGCATTTGAAAGAAGTTGAAATGCTGTTTGCATCGTTAATGCAGGGGAGGAGTGGGACAGTGGGTTCCTGTCCTCATCCTGATTTCTTTCTAACTAGTGGGTCTTTAAAATCCCTGCAGAGTGTGGGGTTTTTTTGAATAAAAGGGACAAGAGGATCTTCTGAATTGTGTCGGTGCAGGAGGGGTTTGAGTATGTGGCCATGGCGTGGATCCTCCTCTGCAGGGCACCTGAAGATGTTCTGGGCAGCACAAGGAGCTTGAGCCACTTCTCATCCCCGTGGTTGCAAGGTAAAGGCTCAGGAAAAGCAGCAGTTGCCTCCTCCTGCCCCAGGTGCTGGAGGAGGAGGAACCTTTTCAACGTGTTCCTTGGTTCTCAAACAAAGAGAAGTGCTCAGCTCGCCTCTGCTGGTTTTCATTTTACATCTTGTGTGATTTTTTTTCTTTTTCTTTTTTTTTTTCATACTCTGCTTTTTCCTGAAGAAACAGGAGTTCTTTGATGTGTTCTTGTGCTGTATCAAAGCAGCTTTTGTGCTGGAGTTAAGTGAGACGTCTTGGTTCACAATACAACACATTATACTTTCCCAGTTCACAGCTGCTCCTGGAGCCTGAAGATCCACCTGTGATCCCATTGCTTTGACCACTGTGGAGAGTTGTTTTCTGGCCTTCCCTTTGTGTGTAAAATCTTCAGAAAAACTCTGTGTTCCCTGCTCCATTGAGGTATCCATGAGGTTCCACTGAGGGATCTCCATCATTTCCTCTAGATGTACACAGTAAATATTGAGTAAAGAGGAATATGTGCAATATAACCCATCCATGAACAATTCCTGCTCCTGTTCTATAACACCAGGGTCTCAGTAAGACTTTTCCACCCTGTTAACGTGTCTAACACAAGACTTTTTAAAGCTGAGGGTACTCAAGGTGTCCTCCAAACTATGGCCAAAATCGTGACACCCCTAAAGCTGTAAATGCCAGAAACATCAGCAGGGGCTTGATCAATGTAACGCTCCAGTACAGTCTGGAACTCTGCCCCTGGGAGAGGGATCCTTCCAGCTGGAAAACCGAGGGATTTGGGCAGTATGAACTCATAATTTGGTAAATGCTCCTGAGAACGATATAGCTCAGTGCAGGGAAAGGTGTATTTTTTTTAATATCTTGCACTTCCCAGAATTTTGGCCACTCCATGTGTGCTCTGTTACTGAACTTTGTGTTGTCAAGAGTGCTGCTCTGTCAGCTTTGTGTGTCTCCAGCTGGATTCCAAACCAGCTGTGATTCCAAAGGTTTGGATGCTTGGCTGTGGCAGAGGCTGATGAGCTTTGAGCTACAGCGAGGTGGTACTTCCTAAAGGGAAGCAGCCTAATGAAATAATAGCAGTTAAATTCTGGGATGCAACCTGCATGGATTTTTTTAGGAGGAGGGGTAAAAAAAAAAAAAAAAAGCCTTTGCCACTCTGAAATTCTGTTGCTAATCTGATTTCCACGTGGCTGCCTCCCCTTGCATCAGTCAGCCCGTTTGGTGCAGTGCTGATCCGGGTTCCCAAAGTGCTGGAGATAAATGCAGCGTGGGAATAATCACTCAACTTCATCTTCCTGCTCTCTCTTAGCACGTATCCCTGGCATTGACAGCTCTGCAGATCCTCCTGTCTGCACGACACATGCGTGTGCCTCATCCCCGGGGATGAGGAGCCGCAGCGGGCACAGCCTCAGCCTCGGAGACACGGAACGTTGCTGGCAAACGTGGATTCCAGGCGGTTCTAAGGCAGAGCTGATCCCCTATGGATCAGCTGGCAGGCCATGGGAAGAGTCTGGAAGCACAGCCTTGAGTTTCTTCGAGTGCCGAGCAATTAATTTGGGCAAGCAGGGAGTTGTGTGTGCGCGGTAATTAGCGGGGAAAGCACCCTAGGCCAGCATAGCAGCGTGGTGTGGGTGTCCCTCAGGTGGAGATTGTTCCAGGTAATTGCAGCAATTTAACCGGCTCCATCGATGGCACGGCCCTGGGGAGTCACCCAGCCTGCCATGGGGCAGGGATTCTGCAAAACAGGTTCAATGGCGTGGGCTGGGCCCAAAAAGGCACCTGCCCCGGGGCACCTGATTTCGGTAGGAACGTGGAGCCCTGTGTAAACTGTCAGTAATCCTTTCTCGGGGCTCGCTGAACGCTGAGGCTCACATGGAGGCTGTTCCCTTCCTTATATAGGGCTGGATAAGTGCTGGGCAGTAATGAGATTGGAATAAAAGGCTTTGGGAGCAAAGATGAGCTGGCAGTCCTGGCTGGATCTTAAACTGAGCCCTGTGTACACATGGACTTCAAACAAGTCCTTGGACTTGATGCCTCTGCTTTGGTTGGGAACAGCACTTGGGCTCTCAGGCTGTGGATTCACCCAGATAGAAACCCCTGGACTCTTAGGTTTCTTCTCTGAGGGGAAAAAAATGTAGCAATTTTACATATAAAACCCCTTTTTGTGTCTTTTGTTATGGTGGTTCTTATTCCGGAGCACCTGGGTTTGTTTTCATTTCACAGGAAGAAGTTTAAACTGCATTAATTGTCACAGTTCTGGACTAAGAGAATCCATACGAGATGCTGAATTAATATTTCATCTGGTGTGTCTTATACTTCCCTTGTGCAGACAGAATTATTAGTGTCCTGCTTAAAAATGTTTGTGGAAATACTGTTTTGTGTAGTCAGATATGGTCAAGGAAAAATGACATCTCTCTGCCTTGTCTGTCCTTGATGAATTTAGACATGGAGAGGAAAACCACTCTGGGAGTTCAGGAATCAGCTGGCAGATATTAATCCTAGAAAGTCTCAGCCTAAATCGTTGGTGTAGGTAAGACATGGCAGGAATTGAGACAAGCAAAGGCAGCGCTTGAAATAATTTTTATTTACTTTCATGTTTACGCTCTTAGGAAAAAAAAAAAAGGGATGATACTTGGAAAGGAAAGATTTGAAAGAGAGGGGAGTAGGGCTGATGACAAAGAGGCAGAAGTGTGAACTGAAGGAAAATGGAGTTGTTTTGCTCTGGCATCTTCCTGGAGCTTTGCAGTTACTTGATCTGCTGTTTTTGAGGTTGGAGGTGGGAGCAGGTACGGAAAGGAGGCGGCGAGTGGGAGGTTTGATTTTTTTTTTTTTTAATTTTTTTTTTTTTTTTACCTGAGTGTACCTGAGCTGTTTCTCATAAAGCAGTACAAGCCAGAGTGGGTGAACATGGAACAACTTAGAAACATTTTTTTGGGGTAGTGACTCACTGCAACTTACCCAAAGTGACCTGATTTAGTTAAATGAGGCTAAATATAACCCATGTGAAAAGTACTGACATGTGGGAGGAGACGACAGAGTTGGCACTCAGCCTCTCTGTTCTGCAGGGAACATCTTTCACGACTGGTGACTAATAATTTTTACTCTTGCTGGCTTTGGAAATAACATCTCAGCTCCATCACCCCCTTGTAGGGAGAGGAGGGAAATGCTCTGGTAACCTGCCTCTGCTCTGCCTCTCTGCCTTGCAGCTCACTGCTATGGACAGTGCTATCACCCTGTGGCAGTTCCTCCTCCAGCTCCTCCAAGAGCCTCAGAACAAGAACATCATCTGTTGGACCTCCAACGACGGGGAGTTCAAGCTGCTGCAGGCAGAGGAGGTGGCCAGGCTGTGGGGGATCCGCAAGAACAAGCCCAGCATGAACTATGATAAACTCAGCCGAGCGCTCAGATACTACTACGTGAAGGTAACAAATCCCCCTCCAATCCTTAGCCATCTTTACCAGCCTAATGGGCTTTGTTTCCTTTTTCATCCCCTGCAAGGGGGCGGGTGGCTGTCACTCCTCTTCCTCCCAGGCTTAAGGAAGTCGTACTGGTTTGTTTAAAAGTGTTTTGTTTTTTTTTTTAATTTTTTTTTTTTAATCTCTTGTATCGTTGTGCTGCGTTTCCTCCCCGTTGCTTATTTGATAAGGTTCTAAGTGCAGAGTTTTCTCTTTGTGTCTTTGCTAACGTAAATTGTTGAATCCTAATCCCCTTTCCAAAAATGCATCCCCTGGCAAGGGTTAAAATCCTCAGCACTCCAGGTAAAACAACACTGGGAGATGATGACTGAGGTGGTGAGTGTTGCACCACCTTAAGATCTTTCCTGCAGTTGCCTCTACAAAAGGGCTTCAAAATAAGGATTTTCAGTGAATCAGCCCGAAGTATTTTTATTGTTCTCCGTGTGTTTAGAATTTCACCTCTAACATGGTCAGTGATTTCAGCCCAGCTGAGTGAGAAGCTTCTCTTGTTTAGCAAAATGTCTTCAAGACCTACCTTGGTTTCAATAAGCCGTTTATCCCACAACTGTTACCGGGCAAGTGTGGGAGATAAAAATAAAACAGTTTCTGAGGAACCTCAGTGGGTAGCAGGTGGTAAGTTACTGGTGTTTATTGTTGGGTGGCACAAATCTGGCTTTGTGCTGAAGAGATCTCAGTAATAATAATTGCATGATAAATGAAGATGATCTTAAGCCCGAATTGCGTGTGGCATTTCACTTAAGGAGCAAAACAAGTTTGACAGATGCTGTTTTGTGGTATTGAAGTAGCTGATTATCCTGCATTCCACTGACTAGTTCAGCTACTTATTTTCCTTTATTAGCATCTTATTAAGGATAAAAGGGGTTTGATTGGAAGTACCAGCTCTCAGTTCTGCAAAGCTGTAGAAACCCTTTAATACTGCAGGTTCTCCTGTTAGATTACCCTGACTGTACCCAGGGCAGTGATCCTTGAGGGGGTTAATGGGTAATTTTTTATTTTATTTAAAAGCAGGTTTTAGGCTGGTTTTGGTGTATTTAATGTCAGGTTAAGCTCACCTGTTCTAGTGTTTTGTCTGTGAGCTCTGGGAATGCTGCTCTGGGAGCGGGACTGAACTGCAGGAACGCAGTGTGGTTTTAAGGCAGGAAAAAAGAAACATTTTTTTGATGAAAGATTACAGGCTTTAATTCCTCTGCCTATTTTGGGCAGTGTTTGTAGGAAGAAAATTAATCTGAAGAAGGTCTAAATATACATGTGTATCTTACCCACAGAATATCATTAAGAAAGTGAACGGTAAGAAGTTTGTGTACAAGTTTGTCTCGTATCCGGAGATTTTAAATATGGACCCGCTCGTCGTGGGCCGGATAGAAGGAGACCCTGAACTGACTGGCTTTGGAGAGGTCAACAGCGCTCCAAAGGAGGTGGAAAACTGTGGGAAGGAGAAGTCCCAGTCGTGTGCGAAGTCCTCGAGCCGCAACGACTACATCCACTCAGGCCTGTACTCCTCCTTCACCCTCAACTCCCTCAACAGCTCCAGCGTCAAACTCTTCAGGTCCATCAAGATCGAGAACCCGGCGGAGAAGCTGACGGAGAAGAAGCCTCAGGAGCCGACCCCCTCCGTCATCAAGTTTGTCACCATGCCCTCCAAAAAGCCGCCCTCGGCCCCCCTGGTCTCCACCGTCTCCGCGGCTTCCGCCGCTCCCGCCGCGTCCTCCTCCCTTCCCATGGGATCCGAGGAGACCCTCCAGACCCTGGAGACGCTCGTCCTGCCCAAGTTAACTGTCCCCGAAGCTCCAGCACCTTTGCCAAACTTAACCAGCAGCTTCACCCCGACCCCCCCCATCTCCTCGGTGTCTCCCACTCTCCAGGTCCCTTCCACGCCCCCGTCGCCGCCCCTGAGCTCCAATCCCGACCTGGACATTGACACGGACATCGAGTCCGTGGCCTCCCAGCAGCTGGAGCAGGCCCAGAGCCTTCAGCACCAATCCCCAGAGCCCAAAGAGCAGGATTCATCCGTGCTGGAGAAGGAATTTGCCAATCACCTCTCCAGATCTAAGAAACCCAAAGGGCTGGAGTTGGCTCCCACTCTCGTCATCACGGGCAGTGATCCAAGTCCTCTGGGCATTCTGAGTCCTTCTCTCCCGACTGCTTCTCTTACTCCAGCACTTTTCTCTCAGGTAACCAAACTCCCTTCCTGGTTTCTTTTTTTAAAGTAACAATGGTGATTATGTTACATTTTAAACCAGTAAGGGAAGGCAAGTGGAAAATGAATAGTCGGTTCATTGTGTGGGGTGTTCTGAAACTCAGGATGTCCCTCCCCCCCTTTTTTTTTTTCTCTTTAATTAAAACCTAAGTTTTATTCACAGTTGGTATTAACTTCACCCCAAAAAGGTGCCCAAGTGGTGTGTCAGCCCTGCACGTCTGGGCAGGGTTGGCATGTGGAGGCAAAACCCAAACCAGCACCAGCAGGATCCTTTGTAAACCTTGCCAGGGAGGGACTGAATTATTTCAGAAACCCTAAACCCTGCCCTCATCCTTCAGCTGGTTCTGAAAATACTTTAAAAATAGAGAAGCACAGAGGTGTCTGTTTGGCAGCTTTTTTTACTCAAATATAGGCATTTAGTTAAGGCCAGAGTCTTGTGAGTGAACATGAACAGCAATAAGAGCAGCTGCTTAATTTGGTTGCTATCTTTGTGTGGGAAAGGAAAGCTTTTGTGTCTCATGGAAAACTTGGAAGAGAACTGAATCCAGCTAGGCTGTTAAATCATTCTGTATCTATTTAATCTCTTTCCTGTGATAAATTGGAATTAGAGTGAAGCTGTAGGGAAGCTGCTGATTGAAAAGCGAAATGGCTGAAGGCAGGGAAAAAAAACCAAGTGGAGTTGCTCTTTTGGCACCCTGGGAAGTGTTTGGCTGGTGAACCTGGAGCATCCAGGGTATTCAGAAGCTGGGTGGAAACTTGTTTTATTGTTCCTTATATTGTCATTGTCACCCAGACCAGGCTTGTGCCTGCTGTCTGCTCCTTTGGAGTTCCCAATCCCGGTTTTCCCAAGTCCTTGCAGGTGTTGTGTGCTGGATTGCTCTGCTGGAGGTTCCAGCAGGATTTGGCAGCTGTTGGGAAAAGAGGGTTGATTGCTCAGCCAGGGGAGGGAGAGCTGGATGGGGCTGGGAAGGGAGGAGGAGCAGGGACTGGGAGTTCCTGAAATTGGGAGCCAGCCCTGGCAGCTGCAGGAGCTGAGGTGGTTGTGGCTGGGCTTCCACGTGCTCTTGCTCCAGGGGCAGGTCTCACTCAGCTCTCCTGTCTCTTCCAGACTCCCATCCTGCTGACTCCCAGCCCTTTGCTCTCCAGCATCCACTTCTGGAGTACCCTGAGCCCGGTGGCTCCTCTCAGTCCTGCCAGGTTGCAAGGTGCTAACACCCTCTTTCAGGTGAGTTCAGCCAATCTCTCCCTGCTTTTCAGTCCCTTCCTCAATAGACCTGCAGGAATCAGTTACCCAAATACCTGCTGTAGAAATAAAATACCTGCTGTAGGTGCTGCCCCATCCCTGGAAGTGTCCAAGGCCAGGTTGGCCAGGGCTTGGAGCAACCTGGGCTGGTGGAAGGTGTCCCTGCCCATGGCAGGGGGTGGGACTGGATGGGCTTTAAGGTCCCTTCCATCCCAAACCATTCCATGATTCTGTGATCTCTCCATTCTGCTGTCTTTTGTTACTTGGAAATTCTCACCTTCGCTGCTTTTAATAAATAATTTTGTTCAATATATAAGAAAAAAAATCCCCTATTTTTAAAAAAAACCCCTCCTTTAGTTGTAATTCCTCGTGCTCTTCCCTCACCTTCCACTTTGGCATTGGAATAACCACATCTGCTGCCTGGGTTTGCTCAGGCAAAGGGTGGGATTGAAGTGGTTGCTTTTTGGGTTGGGATCTCTCATCTCCATGGAGATGAAGGAAGTAGCTCATACATGCCACGAGGATGGGGAATAAACAATGCACTGACCATTTTCCTCTAGAAATAGCTGATAATTAACTGAGGGACTATTTAGACCTGTGGTTTCCCAACAACCTGTATTAAAGTCACTTATTAATTGAGGACATGGGCAGTGCTCAGGGCAGGGATTGCTGTGCCACTGCTTGCAGTGGCATTAAAAAAATTAAATTAAAAGTAGAAATCCGAGAGAATTCTTTGAAGTTTGGGGTGTTTTTTCTTTGTTGTGTTTTGTTGTTTGTTTTTTTTTTTTCTACATGCACAGATAGGGGAGAAACAATGAATTAAAGTGACCTCTTGCCTAATCATTTTTGTTTTGTCTCTTAGTTTCCATCAGTGCTGAACAGTCATGGCCCATTTACTCTGTCTGGACTGGATGGACCCTCTACCCCTGGCCCGTTTTCCCCTGATCTCCAGAAGACATAGCACATGGAATTCATGGAAAGGACACGTTGGCAAACAAGGGAAAGATGGGACACTTCTATTTAACCACGTTTTTTTAAAAATGAGCAATTTATAATTCCACACAGAGATTCTCAACGATCGTAGTTTTCGCCATTCCCAAGTAAAAATGCCTTTTTTTTTGCAAAATTCCCTTTTTTTCTGAAGAACCCAGGTTGGGAATGTATATGCAAAGGCCTTAATAGGAGCTGCAGCTCCAGTTTTCTTCTCTTCCCTCCTTGGTTTGGAAGATTTCACGTGGTCAAAAAGGGACTTTTGGTCGGTGTTGCAGCAGCTGAGTCTGCACTGATTGCAGTGAACAGTGTCAGAGAAGTCTTTTCTCTGTGACTTTTGGGGAAAAAAAAAAAAAACAAACCCTCTGTTCTTCTGCTTCCTGTGCTTGGCAAGAAGATATCTGATCAGGATGGAAGCTGGCATTCCAGGAAATGCTTGGGAAAGGGGTGTGTGCACTCCAGCTTTGCCTGGGGGGGCCACGGTGACTTCTGCAGCAACAAAAACAGCCTGGTCTGTTCTGCTGTAAAATCATCTTGTCTTTTTTGCAGGGAGAAATTTTCAAGGACTATTATTCAGTGCTTCATATCCTGAGATATTGGACAATTTGGGAATTGTGGTGGTGTGTGTCCCACCAGCCCAACCCCTCGGAGAAGTGGTCTGGCTGGATCCTGGATGCTTCCCCTGCCCTCCCTTTGGTGGGGAGGTGAGGTCTGGAGAGAGAGAGAAATCAGTGGTGGGATGAGTTCCTTTCAACCCTCAGAGAGTTTGAATGCTGAAGTCCAAACATTTCTTGTGCCAGAGACCTCTTCCAGAGCTTGTGATCTCACGGCTGGATGAACAGGATGGTGGATTTTCCTTGGAAGTTTTGGGGGGTGGGTGCCTGTGCTGAGGTTGCTGCCTGGTGCTGGAGTTCCACACCCAAACAGTGGTGAGAACACAGATGTCCCAGCATTAACTGCTCTTTCCCACAGGTTTGGAAAAGTTTCCTGCTTTTCCACAAGTGGAGGAGCTCCTCTTCTACCAGCTCTTAGCTCGACTTTTGCATTAGAGCTGTTGTTTGGTTTTTTTTTGAGGAAACACTGACCCAAACTCAGGCTCAGTGTGTCCACCTGGCTGTAAATCTGCTCTTGCATTGCTTTTCTTGGTGGTGTGGATGGATCAAGAATGAGAGATTTAATTTCCAGAGCCATTCGAGACGAAACGAAATTTGTACTTAGATTTATTTTTTTTTTTTTTACACCTCAGGAGGCCTTTTAAGAGAACTGAGGAGTGAAAGGAAGGGAGATTTGTCCTCTCTCAGCCCCTCAGAGTCTGGATGTCTTGGTCTGTGGGTGCTGGGCCCTGTGTCCTCCTTCCACTTGGGGCATCTGATGTCAGGCAGCAACTTCTGTTTTGCTACTGAGTGCGTTGAGATGGGGATGGAAGGGAATCTTTTTCCATAAAACACCCAGTAGAAAACAGATGGGAGCTTCTCTCTCCTTCAGCATCCTCACTTGGCTGCCTGCAGAGTTTTCAGGAGCAGAAGATTTCGCAGCAAGAGGAGCTGACAGTGTTTGCTGTACATATTTGCACCCCCTTTCATGGAGAAGTTTGGTGAACTCAAAGCTTTCCAGAAGTTTTTTTTTCCCTTTTGCCACTTTTGCAGGCTTGGAATTCACTTTCCAAGGGTGTGACAGCACCCGAGACTTCTCTTCCTTGGTGGTGTTACCTTCCTGTGTTCTGACATTGAAACGTGTACAACCACTTTGTGTGTTCCTGACGTGACACCTGGGACAGGTGGGTGGAACAGCTGATTTTTTTTTTGGGGGGAATGGGGGGCATTGTTCATCCAGAACACCTGCCCAGTGGGAATGGGAGAAAAGAGTATTCCTTCTTCAGGTGGAGAAGCTCATGGAGTGACCTGTCTTCCTGTTGGGTTCTGTCAGAGGCATAAATGCTTCACATTTTAGACATCAGCAGATGCAGGATGAAGTTCCTGTGCCAGCAGCTCTTAAAATGTGCAATATTGACCTTTTCTTTTTTTTTTTTTTAATTATTATTATTTTTTTAATGCAGAAGCAAAGCTGCAGATGATAATTGAGAGCAGGCATCTGGAATTTTCTGGTTTGCATGGTGGCTTTTGAGTCTGCTCTAGAAAAATATATATAGCTATGTATAAATAGCAGCACTTTTTTTTAATGGTTGTTTTAGGTTGGCCAATTTGACGCCCACCAAGTGTGTGGACTTTTTGAGAGCAACATTGCAGACTAGGATTAGAATTTAAAAAGTACTTAATGAGCACTAAAAACCCTTGCAATTTAATTGCTTCCCTTTCCTTGTCCCCTATGGAGAAAAGCCAAGTTTATTTGTTTAAAAAGTTGTGTGTGTGCACACATGCACTTAATTCTCTGTGAACTTTTATCACTTTGAGCATAGGGTATGCAAGAGAACCCAGCCTGGGTTCCTGCTCTTCTCCAAGAAGCTTCCTAAGATTGCACTGCCATAGCTGGGGGAGAGCCACCTTTCCCTCTGGGAATCCCTTGTGCAGAGGAAGCTCATGTGGAAATGCAGCCTGGATGGGATGGTTTCTGTCTGGGAATATCCACTGAGGTGGTGGTTGCTTTTCCTTTCCAAGGGAAATCAAAATCCACGGAAGGGTTACAATCTTAGGAGGCAGTTGGGAAAGCACATGGGAAGGGCAGGGAAGGGAGGGGAGAGGAGCAGCTTGCTGCCTTTTCTCCATTCCAGCTTTCAGGTCACTTAAAGGGAATATTATCTTGTATATATGCTGCCTGATTAAACACACATTTACTGACAGGTATGGAACTGCCAGCTTTTTTTTTTGGATCACATTCCTGACGGAGCACAGGGTCCTGTGACTCCTTGGGGCTCAGTGATGTGATTGCTGGTTCTCTGCTAGGTCACTTCAGGAGCACTTTGCAGCTCCTTGCAACTTGTTTTTTAATTTAGTGTAGGGCAGGTGGGGGTTAACAGAGGTTCTCTTTTCCTGGCCACGGTGGCAGTTTGCACTGTGGTGGCTTAAAAAAGTGATAATGCAGCATTACAGAAACCTTTCCTTAGCTGCCAGTTGATGCTGCTGGAGTAGCCATGGGATTGTGGAATGCTTGGGAATATTTGCATTGGTTAATTGGTAGCTGGTGGTAGAATTGGACTGGATGAGCATCTTGCCTTGCTTCTGGAAATCTCTTTTCCATGTCACTGCAGAGTTGGGAGTCTCACCCTGCTGGTGCTGTGTGTGCCACACCCGAGAGCCCGGATTCTCGGGATGCCAGTGGACAGACAGTCCAGACAGACTGCCACAGACAGTCCATGGAAGCAGGAATGTGTTCATGACCCCCTCCAGTCACAGAACCATTCGTGTTCTGTCTCACCTGTGAAGGGAATCCTGGGGAGGAGGGGGATGGAGGAGCATTGGGGTTTTTTTTAAACAGCAGCTCAAGTCCAGAGCCTTGTTTCAGAACCTGAGCTGTTCAGCAGTGGTGGCTGAATGCAATTCCTATGCACTGCCTTTGGCACATTGGAGCTGTGTTTTGCAATAGGTCAGCAGGTGATAAAATTCCTTGAGTTGGAGAATTCAGTGTTTTAACTTGGAGCATCCTCAGACTTCAGCATCCACGCAGTCTTTGGGGTGTGTGAGAACAGAGAGGCTTTGCCTGTTCAGTGGTTCATTTGGGGTAATTTCTCCCTCTGATACGTTTTCAGACCTCAGATTTCTCACCAATAGATTCTTCTTGTGTTTATAGCGTTCCTCCTAAGGACAGTGAAGGCTGCTTAGGTGCAAATCTCCCTTTCCCCAGCTTCCCACAACGCTGAGCTGCAGCAAGGTCAGGTTCCCTCGGGACTTCAGCTCTCACATGAGAGCTCTGCAGGCTGAGGTGGGAGGACAGAGCTGTCCTAGAGCAGTGATGGCTTTCTCAGGTGAGAGTTTTGATCCACTTCTGTAGCGTTTTTCCCAGTGCTGAGCTCAGAACCTGCAGTTCTGACACGCTCTTGTCTCCCACGATTTATTCATTTAGCTTTTAGTTACCTTCTGCTCCTGTTTTATAGCAGTTTTGTGTGTACTCCTGTTTTATGATTTAACCTCTTCCATTTTTAAGGCATATTTGTTTACAATACATCTCAGTGTTGTATCAAGAGGCTCTCTTGGTATTGTCAGCTCTGAAAATCAACTACAGCAGTAGTTACAGAACGTTGTCAAAGGGTGTGTTTTAAAACTCGATGTTTTGAGTTTTTGGGTGTTCACAACAGTTTTGTTTCATTTCTTAAGTTCTCCTGCGTGAGAAATAGAATGTGTATCTGTAAGAGTAGAAATAGGGGGGGAAAAAAAAGAGACCTTCTGGCCTCTGAGGTCGTGGGGATGGATGGTTTATTTTGTCTTAAAAAAATCACAGAGCGCGGTGTTGCAAAGAGCCCCCCCAGGATGTCACACTGGGCAGATCAGTCCAAAATCCATGAGGATTGCAATCCTGGTGCTTAGAAGCTGTTCAGGATGTTTGGTGAGGTATAGGATGTCTTGCCTAAACAGGGGGTTTTGTGGTTGGATTGGAATTTAGTGAAGCTGGTGGGTCTGGACAGCAGGTCTGCTCCGTGGGGAAGCCTTTGGCCATCCCGGGATGGTGGGATGTGGGACATGCTGGAGCTGCTCTGCTGGGATCAGGGGCTGTCAGGTGAAGGCTGAAGGATAAAATGCAGTGACAGTTCTGTGCAGTTCTCCAGGGGGTTCCTGCAGGAGGCTCTGTCTTGGATCAGCCCCTGGGCACACGGAATTCCACCTGGAGCGAGTAACACCGACTGTGGAGGTAAGAGCTGGTCCTGGCCAGAGAAGAACTCTTGGAAATGGAACCAGATCTTTCTCCACAGCCTAATTTTAGTCATAAGGGTACAACAGAGGAGCTGCAAAGCCACAGGGATGGTACATCCCTGCAAATCTGTTCAGCAGCAGCAGCTCCTTTGGAAGTTCCCTGATGGACCTGGTGCCATCTGGAGCAGAAAAGTGAAGCTTTGGGTTTAGTGTCTCCTGGATCTTGGCCTGAGGTGTGTTATTCCTGCCTTTTTACCAAGAACAAACAGAAAGAAGGAGGATCTGTTCACTGCAGAAGGGGGATTGGTTTTGGGCTGAGCCAGAACCAGGCTCTGCCAGGTAGGAAAGCTGGGCAGGGCCCGAGTTCCTTCTTGGATGTGTGTGTTCAAGGATTTCCCTTTGGGAATAGCGAGATACCTGCTTCATAAACATTATTTTTGGGGGAAAAAAAACCCACCCTAAAACTGACTAGAATTGCTTTTTTGTTTACCCCTCCCAAAAAATGTAGCAGAAGGTTTTGCCTGTGGAGCTGTTCCAGCTGCCTGACGAGAAGCACACCCTGAGAGCTGAAAACTTGGAGGTTTTTTTAGATTCCTTGTGCCTGGAATAGCCCTGCATGGAGCACACGTGTGTCATGCCTGACAGGATGTGTCCAGGATGGAGTCTTGGCTTCCAAATTTGTATAAATACCCCTCAAAGCAGCCACTGCACTGTGCAGTCGCCACTTTTAAATATGTTTTGCACACCCTGGTGAGGTTTTTTGGGGGCTTTTCCTTTTCTTTTAGGACTCAAGTCAATCATGCCACAGCGTGGACTCGTTGTGTTGCCAAAGGGTATTTTTAAAAGCAGCTTTGACATTGCTGGATGCCACATCTCCTAAAAAAAAAAAAAAAAGAAAACAAAAAAACAAACGTGTCTTAAATTTGTCTGTGAATAGTTTTGTGTTCACGGAACAAAAGTTTGGACTCCTTTACTCGAAACACTTCTCTCCTGAGACCAGGCATTGCAGAAGGTTTTCATCTCAAATTGGTTGTGGCAGGGGGTGGAACAGGGAAATGCTGAACCTTCTGGAGAACAGGGACCTTCATGGAGACACTGAGTGACCCGGGAGGGGAGGCTGCAGGTGATTTTGGAGCCCATTTCAGCCCTTGAGCAGTACATGCAGCAGTGCTGTACCAATAACTGGAAGCTGTTGTTTTTTCTGGGATTTTTTATTTTAACTTTTTAATTTTTTGGGTTTTTTTTTCAGTTGGGGGTTATTTTTTCATGGTGTTTGTTTTTATTTTTTGAACACAGGAAGGCTTTGAGGGTGGCCTCTGCATGGTTCCTAAGTGTGTGCTGTGTGCTGGGGTGGGGTGGGGTTACAATACCTGGGTTTGCTCGAAGCTCCTTGAGATGTGTTGTGGTTTGTTCTTTTCTTTTCTTTCCTTTTTTTTTTTTGTTGTTGTTTTCTTTTTTTTATTTTTATTTTTTGGCTGGCATGTCTTAAATCTTCAGGCTTTGAAACTGCTTTCTAGAGTTGTGTTGACTTTTTTGTTCTGCTGTTGTTCAGTTGCACAGAGTTTTCTATATATGATGTGCTAGTTTTGACGTTGATTCTCTGTGAACAGGGTTGAGATTATTCCTTGTAGTTTAAAAAGAAACCAAGTTGTATCCTAAAAAAAACTCCCTTTTTCAGACCTTGTTTGTATCCTGTTGCAGTGTTACCAGATGGCCTTATGTACGTCACAGTGTTTTGTGATAAGTACAGTAGCACATTTAATGCTTATTTCCCCTCTGTTTTTATAGCTGAGAAGTGTATTTGTAATAACAGAGCCAAATAAATGGGAAAATTCTAGGTAAGGGTGGTGGTTGTCTCCCCTAATGGGTAGTGGGGCAGCTGGAATTAATCTGGGACTAAACCCTTAGACTGCCTTGGGAATTCTGAGGCTCTTGGCAGATGTGGATCGTGTGCCAGGGGCTTGGAAATCACAGCAGCTCCATTGGCTCCACCACAACTGCTCCGACTTCCAGGGGCTGAGAACCTGCTCTGGGGGCAGCTTTTGGGCTGGGAGAGGCAGGGGAGAGGGAAGTTTGAGGTAATTTTTAGCAACTTAAGCACCCAAACCTGCTGGGCGGTGGGAAGGTGGGCCAGTTTTGTCCTGTTGATTTCTGCAGTTCTGTTCTGGGAAGTGACTTCCTGATGCCTTCAGTGCTTTCTAGTCCGTGGCTGAATTTTTTTTTAGGCTGATCTGGGTTTTCTTTGCTGCTCCAGCAAAGTTTTGGGCTCCAGCAGCTCTGCCAGCTCTGCTGGGAGCAGCTTCTGAGCAGATTTCCCTGTCAGGTGACTCCTAACTCTGCCATGGATCCACTTTTACCTTCCTGTGATTTTAACAGGGGTAAAAATGACATTAGAGGCAGCGGAGAGAACATTTTTCAGCTGCTCTTTCCCTGAACAGAATTGCATTTATTTTTTTTTCTATAAATATATATATAGTACCAAGTCTGGAGACAAAGCAAGTTATGTTGTAGTGAGTGTCTCAACTTCCTACACTGGAGACTTTTCTAGACATGATCTTTTAGAGACAACTGTAACCTCACCCCTCTGGGGTCCTTGTTACAGTTGGGTGAACCTGCCTGGGACAGAAAAGCTTCTCAGTCTAACTTTCTTTTTTTAAATAATACCTTATAATAAGAGTATCTTAATGCCATTGTGTTAAAAAAAAAAATGCTGGTATGTAATGCAAGTACATAAATAGCCAAAGTTTTCAGTAATTGTTCAGTGTTAACTAAATTTTGCTTTTATTTAACCTTCCAAGATAACATTTAGGAAGACCTTCAGCATGTTGACGTCACAAAAGTCTGATCAGCTTGATTAGAGCAGAACGTGGAGTTATTGGAACACATTTCAGGTTTGAATACAATTTGGAGGCAAAGTTTTTTAAGATGCAAAACTTCCTTTGCACTGTAATGACACTTCAAATGCTGCTTTTACAGTGGCTCATTGGTAATTGTTATTCAAACATCATGAAGGTCTTTCCTGAGAAATCAGGTGACTTTTCTATTGCTTCGATTTTTGTGCAAAAAAGTTAAAAATAAAAAAAATCAATGTATTGCAATCTTTTTTAAAAACGGGGTGGGAATAGTTAAAGAAAACTATTTTATGTAAGAACTGACAGAGGGATTTGCTTTGTATAATGCAAGCTGGCTTTAAAAAAAGCATTGTAGCAAAATTATTCAAGTCAATCATATGTTAATAGTTATGTGCAACCAGACATGCAAAACAATTGTATTTTTTTAAATAAATATTTTTAACAAAGTTTCTGCTCTTTTTGACTGGTTTGGTTTTTTTTCAGTAGAGGAAATAGAAAGTTACAGCTGCAGGGCAGCTTGGGCTGTGAGAAGGAGGGAGGTAAAAAATCTTTTTACAGCATCACAAGCTGGAGACAGAGATGGAGTTGGGAAGTTTGGGGTTTATTCCCCAAACCAGGTATTATTCTGGTGAAAATTTCCTTTAATTAGCATTTTTTTCTTTAAGCAGCCCCTCTGCCTAGACCTGAGAGTGGAGATTTGAGTTGCCAAACCTGGTGACAGGAGCACTGTTGCTCTGGCAGAGCAGATTTAGCCCCCTGTTCTCCAAACCTGCAGGGACACACCGAGATTACTGAAGAGCTGCCAGTGCTGGTGTGGCACCCACTTCATCTGAGGAGATTTCCTTCCAAAGAAACCCCCTCCTTGCATTGTTCCTGCTCCTTTCCTCTGGGCAGGGCTGCAGAGATGCTCTCCTGGTGGGAGGGGCTCAGGAAGGACACTCTGGGCTGGGGTTTTCTTTGCTGCAAATGGGTTTTGCACACACACAGGCTTTTTTTCCAGGAGAGTAACAGTGGCATCCTGTGGAGCTGGAGAAGAACTGCAGCACATCCTGCCCGGGGTGGAATCTGCTCTAGGACTGGAATAGAATCATGGAATGGTTTGGGGTGGAAGGGACCTTAAACATCATCCAGTGCCACCTCCTGCCACAGGCAGGGACACCTTGTTTGCTCCAAGCCCCGTCCAGCCTGGCCTTGGACACTCCCAGGGATGGAGAAGCCACAACTTCTTTGGGTTATTTCTGTTTTTCCAAGCATTTTTTTCCCTAAAATACCTTCACAAGCCCCCACGGATGGTCCTGTGGAAACAGCCTCGAGAGCTGGTGAGTTAAGGTGACTTTGTACCTGAAGGTGAGTGTATGAAGCAAATGCAGGAACAGGTAAATGCAGTTAAACTCTGGGTTTAGCTCATCCCTCTGCCTCACATCCCAGAATTAGAACCTATTCTAGCATTCTCTAATGAAACTAAACCCAAATTCAAGGCCAGGTTTGGAGCAGCCTGGGCTAGGGGAAGGTGTCCCTGCCCGTGGCAGGGGGTGAAACGAGAGGTTCTTTTAAGGTCCCTTCCAACCAGACCCATTCTGGGCTTCTAGAAATGCTAAAAAGAGTTTAAATTAAAACAGCTGGTAAATTCAGGCTGAGTTTAAAAACTGGTTAACTGAAGGAGCTGATGGTCTTGGCCAAAAAGAGAGAGAGAATTTAGCAATCAATCACCTTTAATTAAACACTGCTTTATATACACACATACATATGTACATCCACATACAGCAGTTAAAGCAAAAAGAACATGTCCAATCACTCACTGAAGGAGGAGCTGTTTGGAGCTTTTACATTCCTCTAAAGCCAGTCCTTCCCCCGGAGCTGGAGCAGGCCATGCGTGGGCTATGAGAGTACCTTACACAAGGCACCTGGATGAGGATATTGCACAGGTAAAGCAGCTGGAGACTGGCTCCCAAATACCTCTGGTGAAAGCTTCAGTTGGAAGCTGGAAATAAAACCACCCTAAAGGACACTGCCACTGCAGCAGCTGAAGTAAGTGGCTGACTTAAAGCAAAACAAACCCATCACAACTCATTCTTTAAAAAAAAAAAAAAAAGGAAAAAAAAACCACAAAACAAAAAAAAAGAAAAGCAAATGATTGTAATAATCAAGAGGCCTGAGCATGCTGAGTAAGACACTGTCTTAGTGAAGGTGTTTGTAAGTGTGGAATATACAGAATCAAGTGTGCAAATACAGACAGGGCTCTGCCAGTGTGGAACTGTTCCCCTTTGGGAGGGTAAATGGAGGTGACATCGACTCGAGTCCATGTTGCACAAAAATGAATTAAAATCCAGTATTGTGCTGTAAATTCAAGGGGCTCCTGTACATTACAGGCCAGAAAAATAATCTGTTCAATTCCTTAACTAAGCCAGGAGACATTCAGTCACAGGTGGAGCAGAGAGAACCTCTTCCTTCCCACCCTCCATCCTGAACAGGTAAGGAAGTTCATTTACAGGAGGAACTGTTGGGAAATCCTCTCTGCTCACACCTTTCAGGTGGCACTTAAAGTCCTTCTGGTCCCAGTGCCACTGGCAGCTCGTGCCACGGTGTTTTTGGGATGTTTCCTTGATTCTCACTTACCCAGTCGAATGTGCTTTTGATTGCAGAGAACTTGCATGATTCAGTCATTAAATGTTGAAATCATCCTCGAGAGCAATGCTTAATTGGAGGGGGGGGATGGTTTATTGCTTGTCTAGAGCTTGGCCACTTCCTCAGCGCTGGTACTGCCCCGTGTCATCTGGCACTGCTGCTTTGTCGGGAGAGGCATCGTCCAGCTCTGCAGAAGGGACATGAAACACCTGAATGTGCAGTTCTACTGAGCTTAAAGGGGGTGGGCATGAGCTCTCCCAGACAGGAATGGTGCTTTTCCATCACCCACCACAGGAGCTTAGTTCCCTGGTCATGGAAGGAAGTCACTGAGGTTGGAAAATCCCTCCAAGATCCGAGTCCAACCTGTGCCCGATGCCCACCTTGTCCCCCAGCCCAGAGCACTGAGGGCCACGTCCTTGGACACCTCCAGGGCTGGGGACTCCAAACCTCCCTGGGCAGCCCCTTCCAATGCTGCCTGAACATCCTTTCCACGACAAAATTCCCGGTGTCCAACCTGACCCTCCCCTGGCACAGCCTGAGGCCGTTCCCTCTCCTCCTGTCCCTTGTTCCCTGGGAGCAGAGCCCGACCCCCCCCGGCTCCCCCCTCCTGTCAGGGGGTTGCAGAGCCAGAAGGTCCCCCCTGAGCCTCCTTTTCTCCAGGCTGAGCCCCCCCAGCTCCCTCAGTTCTCCTGCTGCTCCAGCCCCTTCCCCAGCTCCATCCCCTTCCCTGGACATGCTCCAGCCCCTCAGTGTCCTTCTTGTCTTGAGGGGCCCAGAACTGGGCACAGCTCTCCAGGTGTGACCCCACACAGCCCCAGTCACCCCTTTCCTGCACCCTGGACATGTTTTTCCCTGTCCCACTCTGCTGGTTTTGTAGGAGGTGCTTACAAAAACAAACAGCCTCTGCAGACTGAGGTGATAAGCAAGAAATCCTTTATCAGTGAGGCTTTTTTCAAGAGCCTGACAGCTGCCCTTGGACAGCAGACCCACTTGTTCCCTGGATTTCAGCCAGGAAACAGCACAGGGAAGCTGGTTCAGTCTCTCTCTCTCTCTCTCTCTGAGATCCGCAGACCATTCCTACTTTTCCCCTCGCTTCTCCAACAGAAAAGAAAGCAAACCCCGGGTTGTGGCTGCCAAGGCTTTGTGGGCAAGTCAAAGCAGGAAAAGGGGAGAGGAAGCAGCAGAAAAATAAACATTTCCTTGCATTTTGCTGGAGTGCTGGGCCCTGGCTCTGTGGTGCTGCAGGTGCTGCTCTTCCTTCCATTCCAAAAGCAGGGCTGAGGGGCTGGTGCTTTCTTACCTGGAGAGGGCTTGGGGTACATCCTGTGGAAAAACACCAGGAAGGCGTAGAAGGTGAAGGCCAAGCATCCAAAGATCATCCCACAGACCAGGAAACTGTAGCTGCCCCGATCATGGATAATCTGCAATGGAAGGGAAACGGGGAGGGGAGCAGACATCACCAGAGCACTCAGATACCTCAGTCAGGGGGGGTAACTCGAGGGTCAGGCAGTGCTTCTTCCCCAAAACCAGGACTAAAGTTTTGACTTTAAAATTCCAGTCGGTTTTTTTGGCCTGTCTTGCCTACTCACCGAGCCCACCAGCAGCTGTAGGACCATCTCCCCAATCCCAGCTCCAGTCACCAACACGGTCGTGGCACAACCTGCAAGGAAACAGTGCAGGAACAGGTGGGACAAGCAGCAGGATCAGCTTTAAACTGCTCTTCCAGGGACCTCCCCACACAAGAGTTCCAAATACTCAATGCACGTCCCCAATTAACATTGAAAATGCCTCTGCTCACCTGCAGCAGTGCAGAAAGGGAAAAGTTTAAGCCAAAAAAAAAAAAAAACAAACCAACCAAATCTCCCTACCCCTTGTCTCTGTTGGCAGAGGTGATGTTGCTTCTTGCTGGAAAGATTCTCATTTTTCTGTCTCACTGCCCCTGAGACAGAGGTTGGCAGAGCCCTCCTGGGACAGCTGGCCAACTGGTTTGCAGTTCACTGACAATCTGATGATGTTTTCAAAACTTATCTCCCTGTAAAACCCCTAAAGCAGCACTCGTGTGAGCCTGAGATCCCTAAAGCTGCAGGAAAGCAGGAACCAGGCTGGATCCCTGCCTGGGGAAGTTATTAGCCAGCCAAGCAGGGCTTGTTACAGTCTGGGTTTGTGACTCCAAGCTTGAGCAAACAATTCCAAAGCAGCTCTTGCTTCCAGGCCTCCTCCTGGGCACCCCTGGGGAGGGAAGGAGCTGCTTGGGGTGACGGTATCTGAGCACCCAGAGGTGTTCCCAAATCCCTGCTCACCTTGGTACTGCAGGATGTCCTCGGTGTAGGCCAGCATGCTGGGGAAGGTGCTGCTCAGGAACAGCCCCAGGGATGCCGTGCCCACGAACAGGAAGACGACGCTGGAGGAGAAAATCAGCAGCAGGAGGAAGGTTATGAGGACCCCAACCTGCGAACAACACACGTGGAGTGAGAGAAATGCTGAGCTGCAACAGGCTCTGGGGTTTATTTCTGATAGGAAAAATAGCCTGGAAAAGAAAATACGCTGAGAAAAGACCAGCCTTTGAGAAAACGAAGCCACTGCACAAAAAAAAAATCTGTCTGGCTTTAAAGAACTTGGTAATTTTTTTATAGCAGGAATTTATAATATAACTCGGTTTTATGTCTCAACTTTGTTACGTAGAAATTTAAGATTGTACCTGAAAAAATGCTTATTGATATTTAATATTTTAAATAATTGCTGTAATAATAATAATTACTCGTGGCTAGGCTTTGCAAACAAAGATTTGGGAAATAATAATTAATAATAAAAGGTGTGTAAA